TTTTGCCTGCCTGCTGCACAGCCAACAGGCCCCCTCTGGCCGCTGCTCGTGCTCCAGAGAGCTGCTAAATTCTCACTGCCAGGTCGGGGTCGCTTGATGGCAATTTGGCCCTATCCCGGCCTTGAGCCCTGGTGGACGGACGGAGACGTGGGGGAATGGCAGGCAAGTGGTAGCAGTGCCAAGTCAGGTAGCGGTACGGGGCTGGTACCTTGGTGTAAGCAACGTACGAGCGAGCAGCACAAGTCCTGCCGGGTCCAGTCGAGCAAGTCCTGGGCTGGCCCTCCAAGAGTCTGCCCTCTGCCGTGTTCTGGCTGGCGGTGCGTTGGCCTTCCATGTCTTTGTCAACCGAGGCCTGCTCGAATCAAATCATAACAAAGCGGAAGCGGAACGAAGCCAAACGTCCTCCTCCATCACCCACCATCCGCTCTGCGTCCTGCATTGCATTGCATTATTGCAGCACCTACCTACTTATTGGCCCCCCCCCGTCCCAGCAGCCTCCGTTGCCTCTGCAGGCGCCTAAAGCCAGCCCTGACTGAGCCAGTCGCCAGTCGCCAAGTCGAGTCCCGACTCACTCGCGGCCGCCAGACACTAAAAAAAGGCTCCAGACCAGTTGAGACCATCAACCGTCGCCAGAACTGCTGCCGCCTCTCGGACCTGATCTTACCTGCTCCGATCTAAGCCCAATCCTCTCGCCCCGGCAAACCTGCGCCTTCGTCCCCATCGCGCAAGCAGCCATCAGCCCTTCTCTCTCCCCTCCGCTCCGCTTCTCACTGCACCTCCCCTTCCCGTCCCCGGGCTGCCCTTCTTCCCTCCTCCATATGAGTTCGCTGAACTCCCGCTTCAAGAGCCTTGGTCTCGGCAAACGCAAATCCACCGCCAGCATTCACAGCGTCCAGGCCGTGCCCCCCACCATCGCCGGTACCCCTCCTCCAGGCCAAATACCGCAGGCGCCGTCTCCAGCCCAGGCTCAGGCTCTTGCTCAGGCCCAGGCTCAGGCTCATCCTCAAACTCCCCAGCCTCAGCAACACCAGTTCCCGCACCCGCACCCGCTGCGCACGCATCCCGGCCAGACGCAGACGCAGACGCCGCCGCCGCCAGGCTCCTCCTCCAGCCCAATGAACCACCAAGGCCCGGGCGCCCGCCCGCCCAGCTACTCGGCTGGCAGCTATCCCCAACCGCCTCAGGGCGCCATGGGCCGCACCAGCCCCATGGCCCCAGGCCAGAACCGCACGCCGCCCACCCAGATGACGGGCGGCCCTCCCCCGATCAACACAGGAGCCCCCGTAGGCTACCCGCCGAACATGAATCCCATGGGCCAGATGCCCCCGGGCATGGCTCAGGGCGGCCCTCCCCAGGGCGCTCCTGGCTATGGCCAGCCTACCGGCTATCCTCCTGGGCCGCCGCCCGCCGGAGGTCCCATCCCGCAGCAGTTTCAGCAGAACAACCCGGCGGCCGAGGTCGAAGGCGCGAGCAGAAGCAAGGCCCAGCTCATTGTTGGCATCGATTTTGTGAGTAGTCCCAAGCTGTCGAGGTCATGGAAACTTGCCTCGAAAGCAGCAGGCATGAGGAGAGAGAGGCACAGAGGAAACGGGCATGGAAAAGGGAACCAGATCGTGATTGCTAATAAGAACGTTTACGTAGGGTACAACCTTTTCTGGTGTCGCCTTCGCGTTCGCAACCAATAACGAGGCCAAGGAGGACATCATCACAGAATGGCCCGGTGCGGGTTCATACACCAAGCAAAAGGTCAGGAGTGCCGCAGCCATTTGACACATATACACCAAAAAAAAAAAAAAAAAAAAAAGACCGAAACTGACGAATAATCAGATCCCTACTGTGCTCTACTACGACCAGTACCAGAAGGTGGTTGGCTGGGGTCCAGATATCGCCGATGCTCTGGCCCCAACCGGCTACCCCAAGCCAGGCGTGCAAAAGGTTGAGTGGTTCAAGCTGCAGCTGATGCTCAGCGGCAACACATACATTGACCCCATCAACCTGCCTCCTCTGCCCCCTGGAAAGTCCGAGATCGATGTCGCTGCCGACTACCTCTTCAAGCTGCGCCAGGCTATGCGGTCCTCGCTGCAAAAGACCCTCGGCGAAGTGTTCAACAGAGAGGAGCGCAACATTCGATACTACCTGACGGTGCCGGCCATTTGGAACGACGCTGGCAAGGCCGCCACCCGAGCCGCAGCCATCCAAGCCGGCTTCCTCCGTGACGAAAACGACAACCGACTGACTCTTGTTTCCGAGCCGGAAGCTGCCGCCCTATTCTGCTCCAAGACGGGTCTGCTCAACCTCAAGGTTCACGACGCTGTCCTGATTGTCGACTGCGGTGGTGGCACTGTCGATTTGATCGCCTACGAAGTCGAAGACGAGAATCCCTTCACAGTCGCCGAATGTACCGCTGGATCTGGTGACTCGTGTGGTTCCACAGCCCTGAACCGCAACTTTAGCAACATCTTGCGGACCAAGATTCGAAAGATGAAGCTCCCGGATGGGTCCAAGACTGCCGGCCGTGTCTACGCAAAGTGCATCATGGACTTTGAGAATCGAATCAAGGCGGATTTCCGAAACAATGGCCAGAAGTGGGCCGTGGACGTTGGTATCGAGGCCGAGTTCCCCGAGGCCGGCATTGAGGAAGGTTACATGACCTTTACCAATGAAGAGATTCTGCAGTGCTTCGAGCCTGTGGTCAACAGAATCCTGGAACTGGTGCGAAACCAGATCATCGCCATCCAGGCCCAGAACCGGACGCTACAGAACATCCTGGTCGTTGGTGGATTTGGTGCGTCAGAGTACTTGTTCCAGCAGATCAAGCTTCATGTGCCTCCCCAGTTCCAGTCCAAAGTGGTCCGGCCCATGGACTCGGTGGCTGCCATCGTCAAGGGCGCAGTTACTGCCGGTATCACGGAGCGTGTCATCACCCACCGTATTGCCAGACGCCACTACCTCATGGCCACTCTGCAGCCCTTCAAGGAGGGCTACCACCCCGAAGCCTACCGAGTGCCGTCGCTCGACGGAAAGGACCGATGCAAGTTTACAAGACAGATTTTCGTACACAAGGGCCAGAAGGTCAAGAACGGAGAGCCTTACAAAGTGTCCTTCTTCCGACAGGTTGCTCCGGGCGCCACGCTCATGTACGAGGATGTTTTGTACGCCTGTGACGATGACGTCTGCCCCGAGTACACCAAGGATCCTCGTAAGTCGAAGTCGTTTGCTCCCTAACACAGGCCATTAGTCAGCTAACACATTTCCCCCTTTAGGCATCAAGGAAGTTGTCACCCTCACATCCGATTTGTCTCGCAAGAACCTGGAAAAGGACTTTGAGCGAATGGACACTCCCCAGGGTACCTTTTACAGAGTGTACTTTGACATTTACCTGACTCTGGACGGCTCCGAATTCAGCGCGGAGCTCGTATGCCAAGGCGAGGTTATGGGCCGCTGCCGAGCACGCTTCAGGTAAATTACAGAGACAATATGGGGAGGTCTTACAAGTATATAACCTTGTTGAGAAATGGGCGCCTTCATCAAGACAAGCAGCATGCATTGACGGATGATTTACACACAAATGATACCTATCGGGGGACGCGGTCAGAGGGGAAGAAGATACACAAGGCCCAGCGCTATGTAGATAGCCGGGGGGGCCAGCAAGAACTCAAAGAAGCTGGGGTGATCTTCGTTGCTATATGAAAAATGGTTCTATCGATGTTGGATTCGGACGGACATAAACAAGAGAGAGCATAGCATGATTCGACAAGTTCTCTACACTTGTTGGTTGGGGAGGATGATGAAAGATACGACAGAGATTATGATTGGCATTGTCGTTAATAGATAGTCGACTCGGCTAGACCAAAGAACATGTTAGTCCAGGTCGTGTTTGTCTCTTGTGGGAGCTGTGGCCAAATCACTGTGAGATGATGTGATTGCCCTCCATCCCTGTGGTAATAGCTGATGAGCAATGACGCCTCATGTCCTGCTGAGCCACCTCGAGAGTCGTGTTTCCGAGATGTAACCAGAGGTCTTCGTATATCAAGACTACCTAGTAGGTCATCACGCATTGATCACGATGCTTGCCTTTCTTGCAGAACTGACACTTCCGAGCACCTTCCGTGCCGAGCAGCCAGAGGAAGGAGGCACATGTTGACCCAAGGTAGGTACCTACCTAGTACCTTTGCCCCATTGAGTAAGTAGGTAGATCTGCCTCAGGCTTCTCATCTTTCCTCTTCTTCCTTCGCTTCTCCCCTTCTTCTCTTCCTTGACATCACCAACACCATCTAGTATATTTTATCATCTCACTGTTCCCTACAGTCACATTGCATGCTATCCATCTACGTGATCACCTTCATCTACCCACCTGCATCTCGGCCTTCTTTCTTCTATTCTTTTCTTTCATATTGCATTCTTTGACCAACCCCTTTTAACTCTTCCTTTCTTCCGCGGCGCATCTTCAGGCGTCGTCATTTTGGAGCGGCTTTTCTTCTTCTTTGTGTGAAGTTTCTTCATAAGCTTTTGAGATCACGGACATTTGTGCTGTCGATATCAGCAGCACTCCGACTCTCTCTTCCGTCACCTCTCGGCTTTACTTCTGCCCACGGCCACGGTACAGGCTCTCCCTTGCTCTCCATCTGCTTTCGTCAACAAAGGCATATCTGTCCCGGCAGAGTTGGGGCGGACACGTCCAGTGGCCTAGCGAAAGATTGCAGTCACATCACACCTGGCCAGTTCTATTACGCCATCATACGAGGACTGTGGGCTTGCTTTGCTTTGCATCTAGAGTTGCTCATTTGTCTAGGATTTCGCTTGCAGTACACTTGGTGCACTCTAGCCGCACAGGCATTCGAATCTCACCCGCATTCGTACGGTAGAAAGCCATGCCACATACCTTGGGTGTCTGGAGTTGGGATACGGACCACAGACACTCGAGGAATAGACGGGCAATTTTCGCGCTGGCATGTGTCTTGCTTCTGTTTCCCGGCGTTCGGGCGGCAAAGCGTTCGACGATGAACCACAACTGGCAAGCCGTCTTCTTCAGCGAAAACGTGAACGCGCCAAAGGGCATCAAGAAGCGAGGCCCTCCCGGCGAAGCGGAGGAGAGGATCCCTCTAGTGGTGACAAACAAGTGCGAATCGACAATCTGGCCTGGGGTTGCCACGCAGTCGGGCACAGGACCCGGAATTGGTGGGTTCGAGCTGGCAGCCAACAAGACGAGGAAGCTATAGGTTGGTCCTGACTGGCAAGGCCGAGTATGGGGCCGGACGAACTGTACCGTCAACGGAGAGTCGTGCGCCTGCAAGACGGGAGACTGTTTTGCAAAGTTGGACTACGAGTTCAGTGTAAGCCATGTCCTCGAGACCCCTTGCAGTTGAAGGTAATGAAGTTCTAAACTGTGATCACAGGGAGCTACTCCTGCAACGCTGGCAGAGTTCAACCTTGCCGGCGGTGTTGACAACAAGCAGACGTTTTACGACATTTCCCTCGTCGACGGCTACAACATACCCATGGGGATCAACTACATCCCGGCGAAGAACACCACCTTTATCCCGCCAAACCTCACCAACTGCGCCTGCATTGCCACCGCGGGCTGGGTGTACTCGGCCGCTGGCAACGGCACCTTTTACTCCAACGCCACGTACCCAATTCCACTCGAGTCGGAGGAGACAAACGAGAGCGTCAGCGCGTGGTGCCCATGGCTGAATCTCGCATTTCCTCCCACTGAGCCGGGAAACGGCATCTACCCCTATCCCGACGACAACGTTCAGCGGCCTGCCTTTGCCCCGTGCAACAGCGCATGTGCCGCCACGGGGTCGGACAAGGACTGCTGCATCGGCAAGTACCACGATCCCAACATCTGCAAGCCATCTCTGTACAGCAAGTCGGTCAAGGCAGTTTGTCCAGACGCCTACAGCTTCGCCTTTGACGATCAGACATCGACCTTTATCATCCCCAAGGGCGGAGGCTGGGAAGTCGTCATGTGCCCCGAAGGCCGGTCGACGGATATTCTGCGCAAGCTTGGGCCGGAAATGTTTGAGCTGGCGAGTGGTGGCAAGCTGTCGACTCTGTCCCTCAAGAGACTTCAAAACGCAACCTATGTGAGGGCAGAACGCGGAGATGCGGGCCTTGCGAGACCATGGGTAGCCATGCTGGTTCTCGGGTTCGTCGTTGCTGCTTACAACTGGGCATGCCTCTAACGGCGAGTTGCGGAGGACGGCAATGATGGCGACAGGATTGAGGGGTACAAGTCGGTCTCGATAGATCTCAGGGCCCGGAGACGGGTCTGTCTCTCTCTCTCCTAGTTATACCTAGAAGTCATGAACTCTACAAAGACGAGCCTCTCTCAAGCCCCCCCCTTACTTCAGGGGAACAACACTGAAACACATTTGACAGGTAAACTCGAAGCGTCTTTTCTGGAGTGTTTTCCGTTCTTTTTCTTTCTGCAGATGGTGTACAAGGGAGTGCAGATCTAGCTACTCCCACGTGCTTTCTTTGGTTCCATTGCGACGAGATGTATCCCAAGATTGGTTCTTCCCTTTGAAGCAGATTGTATGGTACAGCCTCCAACGCCTGCCTCAAATTCTCAAGTTGCCGGCTTGAAACTTGTACGCCATTCCTGTTTGCTCCAGCTACGGGCCTGCCATCGCATCCCGTGAGGTGTATGCGTGGTTTCCCCCGTGAAATGAGAGAAAAGCAAATGGCTTGTTCCAGTATATCGTCTTTCTTGTTACCCTCCTCACTCCCAATTTACCGCTGGCTCTTCTTGGTCTTTCTCCTGCGCTCCCACTCTGCCCTCTCCTCCTCATCGCTGCCGCTGAATTCCGCGTCGTCGTCGTCATCATCGCTCTCGGCACCAGCAGCACCCCGAGGCACAGGAGGGGCAGCCCCATCCGGCCTCCCCGGCGGGGGCGCGCTGGGCGGCGCAGCAGCAGCAGAAGAAGTGGTGGTGGTGACTGTGGTAGTGACGTTGATGAAGTCGCCGGCGTTTTGGCTGGCGTACTCGTGGCGGCGGATGAGGTCGCGCAGCTGGGTGTTGCGGGGGTCGACGAGCTGGAGGGCGGTGAGGCCGCCCTTGTTCTTGATGCGTGGGTTGGAGCCGGCCTCGAGCATCATGTCGATGAGCTGGAGGCCAAAGGGGATCTGGGCGGGGGGTTCGGCGTTGAGCCAGCGGACGGCGGAGTGGAGGGGGGTGTCGCCTTCGAGGCGGTTGATGGGGTCGCATTCGAAGTCTGGCTGGTCGAGGAGGTGGTCGATGATTTCGTCTGGTTGTCGGGGAGGAAGGGCGGGTTTTTTAACAACACTGTTTTTTTTTTTTTTTTTTTTTTTTTTTCTTGGTTTCGACTATGGGGGGGAGGGTGTGAAGAGGAGGAGAGGGGGGGAGAGAGAGGGAGGAAAAGGGGGGGGGGGGGGACGACGACGTACAGTTACCGCGGGAGGCGGCCTCGTGGTAGAGGTGGTTGCCCATGACGGTCGTGGTCTCGTTGAGGAGCCTGGTGATTTCGGAGTCGGACTTGTCTTCGAGGAGCTCGGTCAGGAGCTCGACGTTGTCGCGGCGGCAGGCTTCGATGAGCTGCTCCTCGATGGAGGCGCCCTGGAGCAAGAAAAGAAAGGGGACGACGAGTTAGTTTGGCGCCGCCCATTTTCGGTTTGAAATTCATGTATGTATTGTGTTGTCTTTTGCTGTATGTATGTGTGTATGTATGTATGTGTGTGTATGGCGTGCATATGAGGGCGTGTGTTGCTGTCGTTTGTCGTCGTCGTCGTCGTTGTTGTATATGCGTGGGAATATTCGGGGGGGGAAACGATTGTGACGCACCTCGTGCTCCTCTCCATTCATGATGTCTGAGGTGGAAATTCTAAGTAATGTTTTAGACAGGACGGATCGAACGGGTGAGAAATCGCGCGCAACGTCGGGAACAGAGAGAGAGAGAGAGAGAGAAGCGACGCTTGGGGAAAAAAACAAGGTGAGGCAACAAAGGAGACAGTATGTAAAGGTATTATGTTGTGCAGGAAGAACAGCAAAAAGTGGGAAGAAAGATTAGGATGGGACTCGTTGGAGGCGCAGGCAGGCGATTCAGCGATGTAGGCGCTGGATGGATGGATGGATGGATGGCTGGCTGGGGGTCGTTGAATGGAGACGGGAGCTTCAGGTTGCTGCAAGTAGCGGTGATTGGCGCTATGAAGCATCCATTGGATCATTGGACGTTGGAGGGGTTCGTCGCTCGCTGGAGGTTTAATGGGACATAACCTTGGAAGGCTTAGCGGGGTTGGGAGGCGCTGGAGTTGGCCTGTTTACAGTACCTACCGACAGCTTCCATGCTCGTTGCAGGGCGTTTTGACGTGCGCTGCTGGACTGAGGCGGTTGATTCAATTCCGTTTTGCTGACGAGTTGGTTGGAGGCGCTTGGACCCCACCTGAAAACGGCTCGACTGGGGAGCATTCTTTCAACTTTTTTGGCTTCTAAATGCCGAGCTTCGATTTAACAACATTTTTTTTCTTCGTTCTTTGCGACAACGATTACCACACCTTACTCGGACAGACAACCAGGTCTCACGGGAAAACAGGAGCGCAGAATCACACGTCAATCTACTGTCAAGACACACACACCTATATATTCGAATATACAAACTGGCGAGATCTAGAGTATAGTCAGCACAGGCAGCCATGCTTCTATGTAAGCCCTCCGAATCAAAAAAACACCAGATTTCCTCGTCTCTGACCAAAAAAACCCCAAGTCTGCCCGCACTGCGCAAACATCCTGACCGTCTCCCTGACAATCAACCGCACGAACCGCCTCGAGTGCCGCACATGCCCCTACGAGCACGCCATCACCGACCCCGTCTTCTCGCGCCGCGTCTTTGAGCGCAAGGAGCGCGAGGACGTCTTTGGCGGGCCCGGCGCCTGGGACAATGCGCAAAAGTCAAAGGCCCAGTGCCCCAACGAGGGTTGCAACGGCGAGGAGGCCGCCTTCTTCCAGGTGCAGATCCGCAGCGCCGACGAGCCCATGACGAGCTTCTTCAAGTGCATGACGTGCGGGCACCGGTGGCGCGAGAACTGAGCCGTGTTTTTTGGTTGGGGGAGAAAAAAAAAAAGATGGTCCTTGTTGTCATGTTTGGTTATCCTGAGGGATTTGGTCTCTTTTTTGTTAATGATTCGGCGTTTCGGGAGGGGGGGAATATAGGGTTCGTATGGAGTATGTACGGTGCATTTTCAGCCGAGTTGTTTGTTTGGATAGACAATAAAGGCGTTGTTTCTTGTCCTCGGGAAAGCTCTGAGCCGGTTCGTTCGCTCGTGATTGTTGACTCGCCCGCTAGATATATCGTAACAATTGCGAGACAGGAACAACGTCGGAGAGCTCGCCCTCGATAGCTTCTTCTGGGGATATCCTCCACGCAAGTCAAGGCTCGCGATGCCACTGCACCGACGCCTTCATCTCCTCCTCCACCAGCCGCTGCACCAGATCCGGGCTCATAATGTCCTGCCGGAACCGCTCGCGCTGCAGCAGCTCCAGGTGCCGCAGCGTCGGCCCCGGGTACGTCAGGTACTTGAGGTACGGCGGCTTGGACCAGTACTGCAGGTAGTCGAGGTAGGCGACGAAGGCGGGCTGGGAGAGGAGCTTCTGGGAGGCGAGGTGGTTGAGGTAGTACGGGTTGGCGAGCGATTGGACAAACTGTAGAGAAGACGAGGTTGTTTTTAGATTTTAGAAAAAGCAGTTGAGAGGGGTTTTCGGAAGGAGGCGTGGAACGTTAGAGAACTCGTGGGGATGGGGAAAGTTTTACCTCGAGCTCGATCTCGAAGCGCGAGTAGCCGCCGTACTTGGGCTCTTCGTCTGCGGCGGGCACGGCAGGCGTGGAGGTCATGGAGACGTCCTGGGGCGCTTCCGAGGCCATTTCGATGCGAGGACAAGGGCAGAGACGATTGAGGCTAATCGCAATGTGCTGATACACGCTGGCTGGTGGTCGAGTTCAAGGGTTGGATCGCGACGAAGTGCAAGCAAGAGGTTGAAGATGGAAGTAAACCCTGGCAGACGACGCAGAGAAGTACAAAGGTCAATGTACACCCCCAGCCAGCCAGCCCGGGCTCAGGCTCCACCAATTCCACCACCTCCTCCCCCACACTGACGCATCAACAGCCGCTGTCACTGACCTCGACTCTTCCAACAACTCACTCACCACAACAGCACTTTTTGGTATCCAGCTTTCAAACAGCCTTCAATTGCCAGGATCTTGCGTCTCACCCGACAAGCAAGCAAACCGATTGCAATTGAGTCTTATCGACGCAATTCATCCCCAGTCGTCTAATGCTGCCCAGCTGGCCCTGGGTCACACGAGCCTCCTCTCAGAAGCATCCGCGTCTAGGCACACTCATACACCAGGCAGCAGGCCTCAATATACCATCAAACCATCATCTTCTGTTCGAACGGTTCCAGTGTCTCTATCAATCTCATTGCTTTGAACACCCATCACCATCACCTTCACCATCACCTTCACCATCACCATCGCCATCCACGATCCTAGACAGCATCTGCCCTCCCACCATGCCCATCCCACCCCTAACCCCAACCCCATCCTCCTCATCCACCATCAAAACCCGCCTCCTCATCATCTCAGACACACACTCCTCCCTCCCCTCCACAGAAGACCCCGCCACAACCCCCCAAGACGCCCTCTCAAACCCAAAAGCCCTCGCCCACTCCCCCTCGGGCTTCCGCTGCCCCCTCCCCGAAGCAGACGTCGTCCTCCACTGCGGCGACCTCACCAAGCGCGGACGCCCAGAGGAGCTCCAGAGGACATTCTCCATGCTGCGCGCCCTAAAGGCACCGCTCAAGCTCGCCATCGCCGGCAACCACGACTTGGCCCTCGACGAGCGGCTCGACGAAAGGACCTACTACGACCCCTACAACGACCTCCAGGCCGCTCACAGAACTGCACTGCAGATTGCCAAGGACGCCGAACAGGACGGCGTCCGCTATCTCACCGAGGGGACATACGCCTTCAACCTGCCCAACGGCTCGACGCTGCGCATCTTTGCCAGCCCCTGGACGCCCCGGTATGGCACGTGGGCTTTCCAATACGAGGGCATGGGCACGCACAGCTTCGACATCCCGGAAGGCGTCGACGTCGCCATGACGCACGGTCCGCCCCTCGGCGTTCTCGATCAGACGTGGAGGAATGACAACGCCGGCTGCGGCGACCTCTTTCGGTCCGTCTACCGCGCGAAGCCTAGGATCCATTGCTTTGGCCACATTCACGAAGCCTGGGGCGCTCAGCTGATGCGGTGGAAGCCCAATGTCGGTGTGCCGGGTGAAGCTGACGGAGTTGGTCATGTGAATCAAACCACCGACGGGTCGCGGTCAGCCATCTCGCCGGCCACCGTCCTTGACTGGGAAAACTCGCGTTCCATCTACACTCTTGCGCCGCCCCCTGTGAGCATTCCCACAAACTCTGCAGTGGCTGGCAGGGAGACGCAAAACCTCGTCGAGATGAGCAAAGACCGAGGCTGCTACCTCGATGTGACGGAAGGGCAGGACATGGTGAAGCGAGGCGAGCAGACGCTCTTTGTCAATGCTTCGATCATGAGTGTCCGGTATCGCCCAGCACAAATGCCCTGGGTGGTGGACATTGACCTGCCGAGGACAACAGAGCTCACATAGTCACTCAAGGGCGCGGCCAGAGTGCCTTGATACAGCAAGATTCAATTATCGCGGGGTGGTATAAACAAGCCGTTGAGTCCATATCTGCATTACAAAGAGAATTCAAGAAAACATTGAACTCCCTGACCGGATCCAGTCAATCGTGGCCTGCAAAAAGAAAAAAAAAAGGGGGGAAGAAAGAAAGTTTCCGTTTTGAAAGTCCACGCCTCTTCATATTATATACTCGTCAGTTCATGAATACATGCTAGCCCAACGCCTTGACAAACTTGTCAAGAATGAGTTCAAAAGCGCTGGATTGCATTTACAGGGCCACCAGAGCAGCCAGGACGGCGCCGATGACACCAGCCACGGGGGCGGTAGCATCGCTGCCGGCAAGCGTGGTGGACGCAGGGATGCCAGACGTCTTGGAGCCGCCGTCGCCGCCGACAAAGGCGGTAGAGGTGCGAGTGATGACGGAGCGAGTGCCGGAGACGGTGCTGTTGGAGACGCCAGAGGGAGCCGAGGGCTGAATGGTCGGGCCGGTCGAGACACTGGTGGAAGTCTCGGCGGCAGTGGTCCCAGCAGCAGTGGTCGAGGCAGCAGTGGTCGAGGCCGGAGCAGTGGTGGCCTCGGTGGTGGTGGTGCCGGCGTCAGTGGTGGTGGCAGCCTCGGTGGTGGTCTCGGCGGCAGACGTGGTGGTCTCGGATGCAGGCTCCGTAGCCGTGGCCGTGGCCGTAGCCGTGGCGGCAGAAGACGTCTCGGTCGAGCCGCCGGCGTTCTTCTTGCAGGCGTCGGCAGCGGCGGCCTGAGCCTTTGCGAGGTCGCTGGGGCTGCACTTGCTGAGGAGGCAGGGTCCGACGAGGCCGAGGAGCTTAGCCTGGACGTCGGGCTTGCAGGCGCAGGCGGTGTCTGTGAGGGCGCAGCCGGCCTTGGGGATGGCGTCCTTGAGACAGGGGATCTATGTGTTGCTTGTCAGTGTCTTGCGGGAGGGGGAAGTCGACGAAGTTGAAGTTGCAAGGAGACTCGACTTACAGCGCATTCGGGCTGGCCGGTAAAGTCCTGGGCGGCGACCAGGCCGGCGAGGAGGAGAGAGAGGACGGAGGCCTTCATTGTGAGGGTTTTCGGTGTGGTATATGCTGCTGTTGTTGTCGTTGAACGAGAGCAAGCGAAGACGATGCGAGAGCGAATGGCGAGCTCAAGAGGAGGCAAAGACACAAACGAAAAAGAAACGAAGGCAGTCAAACACAAACGTGACAAGGGCTATGAGACGCAAGTGAAAAGAGAGAGAGAAGAGAAGAGGTGTAGCGAGGCCGGCGGGAGCAAAGGACTCTTTTTGTATTATGAGATGTACCTTTGCAGCACTAACATTTCCAATCGGGCAGGCAGAGGTCAGTCAGTCCACCAGTAGCATGTACATACATACAAGTACTGACAAGGGGGGAGAGGAAAGAAAAAGACCCTGGGGGGGACTTGCCTTGACCGGGGGGTGATTGAAGTCGGGTACAATTGGCGAGACGAAGCGAGAAGCGAGCGACTTGGACGGCTGAGTGGTCAGTGGTCAGTGGTCAGTGGATGAATAGTGGACTAGTGGTGGATGGATTGGCATGGATAATAGCGCTGAAGCTGGCAGCTCCCCCAGATGCTGCCGCTGCTGCAGGCTGCTGGATTTTGACGGTTCCGGTTCCATTCCGTCTACTAGCGGGATGCAGGGCCCTCGACTTCCTCTTACGAGCAATGGGGGGGAACTCGGCCGTATTCGCTATATAGCCGCCATTGTTACTACAACATACTAGTATACGAGGTGCACTGGCTTCAGTTGCACTTGGCCGTCAGTCCACCGAGGTACCTACATGTACTGTAGCATCTCAAAAGACACTTGAAACAATGGGCTTGCCACCGCAACCCTAACCCAACGAGCGGACAAACTGCACTGCACTGCACTGCACTGTACCAGTACTCTCCCGATGGACAGTGATGAGATACAGAAGAGGGAAAGAAATGACAATACACCTCGAAGTTGAAACGGATTGGCCGTCGCTGATTGGATCCATTGTTTGCTTTTTTTTTTTTTGCTCGACTCCTTTGCGGGGGGGAGTCGTCTTGTCTCCACGAGGGGCAGATCCCAACGGAGCGCCACGCTGCAAGGTACCGAGTCTTACGAGAAGACAGGGGCAAAAGTTGGTGATTTTTGAGTGAAGAGCTCGTTTGATTCGCTGCTTGGGGGTGTCAGTTGATCTCTTTTTTTTTGGCGTCGTTTTGCATGGGTGGATGGATAGGTGGCTGGTGGCGCAGGGGCAGAGTCGGGCTGTGTGTGTGTGTGGTTGGTGCGCTAGGACCGGGGGAGGTTTGCCTCTGTTTTGAGTCTTTTTACGCGGATGTTACCAGGTTATTATCGGGGTTTGTTGGTGCTGGTGATGTGAGGGTGAAGAGAGAGAGAGAGAGACATATGACAAGTTTCTGTTTCTCTATCTCTTTTTCTCTCTTAGAGGTGCGAGACTGGCCGTGATGTGCTTTTGCCGTCATTTCGGGTTATGCCGTGTCTCAGTTACGGCGGTATCACCTAGTACTAGTAGTAGCCTTGAGAGAGGATGGATGGCTTGACAGTTAATGTGGAGACGAGTTTGGCTGTTTGCTTGCTTCCGTCTCTTTCTCGCTGGAGACGGCGGATCTCGTCCTGTCTCGGGTGAGCAAATGGTGCAGCGCCCGTGTCGCACGAGGTTTCAGGATCTTGCATCGGCCTGGATGTGCTGCTGTTGCTGGTGCTGCTAGCAGTAGCTACCTTATGTACTAGTATCGTATGTAAGGTGGTACGGCATTGGCATCCGGTGGAAGATGGTGGGGGAGGAGGAGGAGGAGGAGGATAGAGGCGAAGAGCGGCAGGATGTGGCATGGGTATTGCGTTGGTGTTGTTGATAGTTGTCGGTTTTGTAGTCATTTGACGCGGCTTGAGATTGGATCGGCTCATACATTCATCAATGTCTCTGCTCAATGTCATTTGAAGAGAGACATATGATAGTATATCTATGTACAAGCAAGTGCTTTGCGAGAAAATACAAGGTGCGGAGTGCAAAAGAATATAGACACACATCAGATCAACTACGAGCACCGTTTAGGTATGGTGTTTGGTGGTAGACGTCGCATTTGTGTGCGCATCGTTGGTTTTTATGTAAGCGCATGTTTACTCTGTTCTCCGTTTCTCTGCAAACCGCTTTGACAGAGTACGTACCTTACCTATATATAAGGTAGTACCTACATACATTTGTCCTGACAGCGCCGATCAACGAGGATCGACGGCAACTTTTCAATCGCTAATGCAGTCATTACTAAAGCGGAAGTCGACTTCCAGTCAATCAAAAGCAGAGAGACACTTTCGTCTCCTACCTACTCTTATTAAAAGTATTCTCAATCATGAGCTGGAGGTAAGCACAAAGCCAACGGCTGAAATGCCTGCTTGTCTCGGGGCTTTTTCTTTGTCACATGGACTCCGGAATATGCCTGACATCTCTCGCATCTGTCCTTTATCCACCTCCATAGAGATGAGAACAATTCTAGACACCTCAAGATATTCGTTTTCTTTTTCTTTTCTTGCTAGAGAGCGGGTTGACTTGGGTACTTGATGTAACAGGAGCGGATGCAAGCTCTCGCAAACAAAGCTGCCGTCGATTGTATTGCTGCCTTAGGTACATTACGGTACAAGGCAAATGTCACGTCTCTGGAGCCAGCGTTGAGTTGACGGCTTTCCGTACCATTCACATTCTCACCGGCGAAAAGGTCGAGCGCATTAGAGTCGTCCAACTGATCAAAAGTAGTCTTTTATCAGGACTTCAGCAATAAATCGTCCAAAACAAGGCCTCGGCCTCTCTATGAATCATGTCTATAACGCGCTCTGCAATGCCATACATCCATCAATCCCATACAAACACTCCTAAATCATGCCAAATCACCGGTCATCCCAGCGCGGCCGACTCATGATAATGGGCCTCGCCGGATCCCACGGCCCCCGAATCTCATTCTTGTACCGCTGCAGCCCAATGAGCCACCAGCTGCACCCGCCCGTGGCAATGGCCGCAATCATGACGGCCACGGCCATGCCCCCGATGCCGCGCTTCCACGGCCAGCACCCGGGCTTGGGCTCCGCAATTACCACGCCGACGCCCCAGCCCGCGCCCAGGATCAGCAGCACCGTCAGGATGACGTGCTGCCGGAAGCTGCGGTGCTGCACGTACCGCCGGAACACGGGGAACAGCCCAAACACCTCGATGCTGAAGAGCGTCAGGCAAAAGACCTGCTTGGTGGAGGGCAGGCGGCTGGCCAGCACCGTCGACGCCATGAGCGCTGCGTTGGTCGACAGCGACGCCGGGAACTTTGCGCCCACGCCGCCCGAGTAGTCGAAGAAGAAGATGTTGATGGCCAGCAGCCAGAGGGACATGGCCCAGATGCTGTCGCTCGAGGTGGACTGGGTGAGCGACTTGAGGATGGGGCTGAGCCCGAGGAGGGTGCAGTAGATGAGGATAGCCGACTTGATGGTCCCGAGGCGCTGGTGCAGGCGGTTGGTCTCGCTTGGGAGGGCAAAGTCGGGCATCACGTCCGAGTTGGCCCTTCGCAGCATCGGCTGGCCGTCTGCGCCGTGCTGAGGAGCTGTCCTTGGCGACAGGGGCGATGTGGGCGAGGTTGGAGAGGTGGTGGAAGAGGTAGACGCAAGGCTCGTCACCCTCAGTTGTTCATTTTCTGGAATCTGGACCTTGATGTTGACCGTGGAGCTTCCCGCCGAGGGCCGAGAAGAACTGGTCTCCGATGTCGACCGGCTGGATGAGACGGGAATGGCACGGGGCGCGGTCATGGGTCGACGAATGCTAGCTGCGCGAGCTCGCCGTCGTATGCTCTCCGTCTTTGTCGCAGAGGCAGCGGGTCCGCCTGCCGCCGGGTCGTCCTCCTTGTCTTGTTCCTCCGACACCCAGCGCTCCCAGAGGATCCAGCCGAGAAACGTGGCGAAGCTGCTGCCGCTGACGAGGGAGACGGGCGACACCCGTTCCTGGAAGATGCCCACGAAGCAGACGATGAAGAGGATGACGGAGCAGACGTGCTGCAGAATCACCGTCGAATCGGCCACCAGCGGCCAGAAGTCGTAGGGCTTGAGCCGGGGATTTCGCTGGAGGTTCTCGAGGAAGGTCGCCTGGTCGGTGTAGTTGTCCGGATCTGGGCCATCCTGTCAGCCTCGCCGCTCGCTTTGGGGAAAATGCCCGAGATTGTGTCTATGGGATTGAACCAAATAAATCACCTACACGACTGCTTCACCCACATGAGCTTCCTCCAGGCCCTCTTGCGCCGCCGGCTCCTGCTGCGGTCGTTCTTGAGGTGCCTCAGATGCGACAGCGGATCGGCGGCCCCGTCGCCGTCAAAGGGCTGCCGCAGCGGGTACATGAAGGCATCGTGAGGCGACAGATGCGAGCGGTCCAGCGAATTGAGGCTTGCGGCGTGGCTCAGCCGCGGGAAGGGCGTCTCGTCGTCTGTCGGCGAGGGCATTGTTCGAGAGGCTTGTCAAGGCGTGTGTTCTCTGTTTCCCTTGAGTGCCTACGTATGTTGGAGGCTGCGCTGATTGTCGGCTGCTAGCAGGCAGCTGAAGGCGGCATTGGGAGCGATTGAGAGGCAACGGGCTGGAGTCGTGGCGGTTTCATGTGGTGTGTTGCTGTGAGGTCAAGATTGGAGCGAGGAGGACAGATGCTGAGATCCGGGGGCTGAACCATTCGTTGTAGTACATACAGTAGTTGGAGGAGATAAGATTGCAAAGATCTGGCGGGTCGAAAAAAGAAAAAGTGCTGAATGTCACTCGCGGGGCTGCTAAACAGAGGCGTCAGGGGACCAGGTAGCCGATACCTGGACGGCGGGATGAGTGGCGCTTGTTCAGCGAGTGTCTGCTACTTACACCCAATCAACAACGGCTTGGAGCCAACCTTGAATTCAATCGACAGGAGGGTAAGATCAGCAATTGTGTGACGACCTTTCCAATTGTCGAGATCAATTCCAATCTTTCGACAACTCGCGAACATCCGTTACGTAACGCTCTGGAAGGATCCGAGCAGCGCCTCACTCTCGAGCTTCTAGAACGTCGTGTAGCGGATGCCGTGCAGGAACAACAATCAAAACCAGTCAAACCTCGGCACTTTACAGCCTCAATGCCAGATCCATGTGAATAAAAAAAAAAAAAAAAAAAAAGGGTCGAAGAAAAAGTGCCAAGAAAAGTGCAAATCTCAAACTTAAATCGCACGCGCGATGCGGCTCAGGTCACGAATTACCCCTTTAGGCAATGGGGAGTGCGGTAAGCGGTTGACGAGCAGCTTTCGATCTTGGCTCCCCTTCTTGTTTCTCTCCATCTCCTGAAGAGAGAACTGTACGTACGCCTGCTTTGAATTTTGTAAGTATATTATTTTGGGCTTGCTATAGGCGGCCTCTCCGCAGAGAAGCGGACATTTAATTTCTTGCACCAAAAATGCCGTCTTACACCTTAAAAACATCGTGACGGGCTGAAGCTCCGCCTCGTCGGCAAGCCACCACCTCTCATGCCTTATCCTGCCATCTCTCTAACCCGTTCGGATACCTGCCGAAGGAGACGCCCTTCTTATACGACCCACTATCACGAAGGGAACCTTTGCTCAAGCTTGTTCCTCTTGCTTGCTTGGTTGTCTCGTCCTCGAGGCACTTATACGTCATATAGCCTCAGCAACGCCAGGACTATGTGCCGATCATCAGGATCATCAGTCTGCTGCCAATCTCTATGGTAATATTGTACTGTAAAACGTGTCTGTCTTGGAAAATCACAACACCTCACAACCTCCTTGATCAGACAATCGTTCGCCATAGTGTTCGACAATGTCAGAGGTTTCTACTCAACACTTGTTTCCACTCAACACTAGAACCACTTGATCTACAAATCGGCGGCAATGAGACCAAAAAAAAAAAACCCTCTAGAAGCCCTACCCACACCCCGTCTCGAATCCTCTCCTACCGCCGGTCTGGATTTCTGTTCTGGTTTCACCGTCTGTAGCCGCCAAAGAATGGCATGGCTCGACCCTCTGTGCTGCGCCATGATTAGCGGGTTTGCTCGCGCCTCAGGACTTCATGCATGCGGCGTTTCCCTCAGCGTCTGGCCTGTGCGTCCCCTCTTTCTTATACGAGGAAGGAAAAGAGACTAGATTGCTTCAGGCTCGTTGCCTTTAAATTCCCCCCTTGTGTGTCTTGCCTTCTTCTTCTTCTTCTTCGCCTTGGCGTCTGGCCTGGCTACCTCGTTGTCGAACGCTTGGCAAGCTTTTCGTCTGATGTTTCTTTAAAGTCACCTTTGAAGCTTCTCTAAGGGGGGCAAGATAACATCTACTTACGACAGTATACCAAGTCCTCCGCCTACGATTACCAATTGTCCCGCCCTGCCGGAGGAGAGTCTTCGATCAACACTCAAACACAAGTTGCCCCCTCCCTTTCCATTCACAACAACACCGACTTCATAACTTCATCACCATGGCCATCAGAGTAACTCCCCTCCTTTTGACAATCCTCTATATGACGCACCAAGCCCTCTCTGCCCCAATAACAAAGGAGAACCCTCTCCCACCTGCAACCACCTCCGCAGCCCTCGGAACCTCCACATCCACCCAACATCCATCCGAACAAATCCCAGGAACAACCCCCAAACGGCATCACATCATCAGAGTATCCAAGTCCACCAGCGACGAAACAGCAAACAACTACTTCTTCGACACAACAACCCTCCAACTCCTCGAAACGAGCCACCAAACCAAGCCCGTCCCCGTATTCACATCCTCCAACAACAACAAGGTCGTCATCGTCACCGTCCCCGATGCCGACTACAACAACAACAACAACAACGGCAACGCAATTACTTCATACCACGTCCAAGAGGACCTTATCAATACTCCCTCCTCTGTCTGGAACGGGAAGCAAGCTCAGATACTCTGCCGCCGGCTCCGCCAGTGTAGGCAGCGCGTCTTGGAGCAGCGGCTTGGACTGCTTATTCTGGGAGTCTCGCTTGCGCTTGCACTTGTTTGTGCTTGTATGAGGGAGTGAGTGTGACTATTGCTGGTTGTGTGATATTTGCATGTTCATTCTAACGTGGGTTTTTTTTCTCGATAGGTTGTGCTCTTTGCAGGATGATGAGCGTCTGGAGCTTGAGTCCAAAGCATTGGAAGAAAAAATGGCCACAAGTTCTAATAAAGAAAAGCATTGACACAGGTGCAACAAATCAAACTCAATCCAGATAGATAGAAAGCAATTTAAATTATTTCTCCCATTGGAGAATTCGGCAGGTGTATCTCATATGCCATATATTCTCCCAGGGCACAAGGTATGACTTGCACGCAACAGACAGCACAGCGAGTCCCGACTTGAGAGCATGCAGCTCCAAACCCCTACTCTTTGCAAGAGCATGAGTCGTCACAAGGCAGTTTCGGCTCGAGCTTCTCGTGTCACGAACAGAGAACGTCTCTCTCCGTCTTATATCAGAGACTGTAGCAGAGGATAGAACAACGTCCAGATCCGGACAAATGATGAGCGCCAAGAAGCTAAAGGGCAGAGGAGCCAAGCTGATTAGCCGCTCTGGTTCCACCTCGGGAGAGCCCTACCCTTCTTTTAACCTCGGGTCCAAGTCTCGTTACTTCGGTTGTTATATCTAGGCGCCCGCCCTCGATGTTCTCTCAAGACTCGACGAGAGAGCATCAAGCATCACTCCAAGTTGGGAAAAGGTAAATTGCCAGCAGACATCAAGTATCAACAGTAAGTCTAGAATCGTGCTCCGTCGTCACAAGCGTGAGAAAGCCACAGAATCAGCACTCGAACTGGTGGACATCCTCGGCGCAAGGTGGACAACGGCAGTGGATACAGTCGGCGCTAATACGTGCTCTCCAAGTGCGGGAGCGGCAGCGGTTATAATTACCAGCACTAGCAGAGTATGGGGTAACATCGAGTTCAACTACTACTCCAGACTTTCAACTCATTCCAAGCCATCGTGGGTCGTCTTTTGCTCTTCTTGCGAGGCGTTTCTGCAAATCATCTCCTTCACACGGCCAACGTTTTTGGCTTACAGACTCACCAAGTTCACGCCTCTCTCTTCTATCCCGCCGCAGACATGGCTTCTGCTACTTACGAGACGGCGAAAACGCGTTTCGTCAAGGTGGACGGCCTTACCTTTGCCTATCGACAGCTCGGTGTGTCGCACGGCATCCCGCTCGTCATGTTTCCGGGCTTCAAGTGAGTCATCCCGCTGGATAAATCGTGAACTTCTTCCGCTTTCTCCTCTTGCAACCTTAGCGACGGCTGGGGGGGTGAGCCGCCCGAAAGTGGTCAATGCTGATAACCCCCGACTGTTGGTCGGCTGCGGCGACACAGACAGACCATGGATCACTGGGACCCGGCACTGGTCAATCCTCTTGCGGCCCAGCGTCCAGTGCTGCTCATTGACAACGCCGGCGTTGGTCGATCCGAGGGCCAAGTTCCCGATACTTTTGCCGGCTGGGCAGCGCACTACAGCGCCGTCATCAGGCACCTCCTGGGCCAGGGCAGCAAGGTGGACGTGTTGGGCTATTCCATGGGCGGCTGCGTTGCGCAGCTCATGGCCCTCGACGCGCCGGAGCAGGTCCGACGGTTGGTGCTCTGCGGGACGATTCCCAGCGCCGGAGACGGCGTTAAACCCTCGCCCGACGGCAAAGCCTTCAAACGTATCAAGGCGGCCAGGACTGACGACGAGGAGCGGCAAGCTTTCGAGCATGGCTTCTTCCTGCAGAGCTCCGAACGCAGTCGAGAAGCGGGCAGGCTGGCATGGGAGCGCATCGCCGGCAGCAGAAGAGATTCTGGCGAAGAGAGATGCGAACCGGTACCCCCGGGGCCAGCTCATAAGCAGGCGCTTGCCTTTGTCAGGTTCATGGACAAGAAGCACGCTTCCGAGGGGAGTTATGACCGGTTCCAACAGCTGCGTCTGCCGGTGTTAATTGCCAATGGTGAGCCGTCTCGCGCCCCCCTCATGCCGTCCCCTTACCCGTGTACCTCCCTACACCCTTCCACCCCCTATTTCTGGTTCTCGCGGCACCCCCCCAGCCAATGCGTCGAATAGCCGTCGGACCACTGTGTAAAACAAGAGAGATTCGGATGCCGATATGCAGCTAATTCGATATGTGCTCCGTAGGCTGCGAAGATTTATTACTGCCAACTGACAACAGCATCCTGATGTGGAAGATGCTTAGCTTCGCGGATGCACGACTGCATCTGTTTCCGGATTCGGGACATGGGTTTCTGTTCCAGTACGCCGACGAGTTCTCGAGGCTGGTCAATGATTTTCTTGGCAGCAGCAGCAGCAGCGGCAGCGGCTCGAATCGCGGCAGCCGGCTTTGAGCGCCCCAAACGCCCAAGGCACACGACTCTGGTGCTGCTAGCATCGACGCCTGTCCTCGTATGTGCTTTAGTGAGCATGCAAGTCGCGTCTCTCCACGACAACGCGACGCCAGTTATTTTCCTCATTGGTCTTTCTCTGCTTTTGGGTCGCTGCACGCCCCGCTGTGATCAGCTAGGTCGTCATGTAGTAACGAGCAAAAAAATGATGGTCCAGGGGCAGGTAGATGAATGGTAGCATTTTGGCCTGAACAATAGCACAGTGCTCGCACTCGCACAAGTACCTACCGGTACTGCGGCGTATGCTTCGCAACCATCTCCGACATCCTTAGTGCGAGCTGCTCGTGGTGCATGTCCCCTTTGAAGCTGGTATCACATGCAAGAACCGGCCACTCATTGCGAAGTTGTACGCGGTGCTCCGTCCGTTTAGTGGTGCTCCAGGTAGGGAGGGAGCCGGCCAATCAGTTACGAGCGTTGACGATAACAAAGTCGCAGCTCGCAGTGATTGATCAATGGCCGCCATGCAGCTGAGCAAAAAGTTCGGTCATTCCTTGAGGAGAAGAATCATAAAAAGGGGGCGAGCCTGGTTTTTTCTCCCTGTCCCAAGAGCAAGCTGCAAACGTAACGGGGAGCAAGAGTCCCTCTGGAGGACAGTCGTCAAGTCGAATCGCTCCTCTTGGCCCTGCCCTCTTCTTCTGTGCTTCTCTCCACACTTTGCTGACAATAAACTGGGTAAGGAGCACCAGCTATTGCAGCCGTTCCGAGGCGGGAGTTGTGCTTGTGCTGGTCATTACGAGTAGTGGTGATATTCATAATGCTTGTGCACTCTCTGTCAGCGTCAAGGGACGAAGCTAGCAGGCAACCTCAGGTGGTAAAGCGCCGCTCCCGGCCTTGGGTTGCAGTCGTCGGCCCGTATGTGCTCCTGGTAGGCAAGGTAATGCTGCAGCGGTCGCAGGTCGCGTAGGTAGAGGTACTCCGTACTTGTACGGAGCAACGCTACCCGAGGAGAAGAGATGGGCCAGGCAGGTCGTTGGTCATCCCCGTAGCAAGCAAACAACGCTGGACCATGACGACGTGTGGTCTCGCCAGAGTGTCGGGCAACGACATTGGCTCCAGCGCTGATCCAGACGAAGGAGACAAAGGCGAAAGGAGGAGCCGGAGCATGCAGATTGGTCGATTGTTTAGCGTCGGCTTGTCAGAGTTTCGGCTGGCCACCAACTTGCAGCTCCCTCCGCCTCAGCCGCTCTTATTCACGAGGACACTCGGCCACCTGCCCACTCCATCCAGCCGAGCTCTTGGGGTCGGCGAAGCCCTCCGAACCAGACCAAGGGCAGGCAGGATAGGGGGCCAGCCGCTGCCGCCATTGGCGTTCGTGACGCCACACCCGGAGGTCCCGTCGGCAGCACATATTGCTATCCTGCCTTATGTAGACATCCAGACATGTAGTGGATGGAAAAGCAGACACAAACACACGAGACAGGGCAGAGCGCTGCGGGTGACAATGTGACGAGGCACTTGGCGGGCTCCTCCGCGGCCCCCAAACAAGCCAGACAAGCCGTAAGGACACTGCCTAGACGGCATGGCATCTCAGAAACCTGCAGGGCAGCGAACGTGAACTGATTGAACTGCTTCATTGTTGGATAGCCAGTTCAGGCTCGCGCTGGTCTGATGCCGTCGTTATGGATACTTGATTCGTAACGCCCGCGGATAAAGAGGCCATGTTCCGTTTTGCCTTTTTCGCAGCCTTCTTCGTACAGCAACCCTTGGTGCGTTTGGTCGAGGCCCACGCGCGCAGCAGATGCAGAGGATGAGGTACGGCAGACGCAGGCTGCACGCCTCAGAGATGGTACCTACATAAGGCAAGGTAAGCAGCATCGGAGCATGTACAAGTACGAGCACGGAGCACAGCTTGGTAGGGTAGGACCGCGACAACGGTGCTCGCGGGGATGTACAAGTACAGCCAGTGCTCCGACATGCCGTAAGGTATGGAGTCGCGGGCGGCGAATGAGGTCAGATGCAACGTTCAAAGGCAGAGTGTGTATTGTCATTGTCCTCGCCAGTCAGTGAGGAAGATAGACAAGGCAGTAATATGTAGGGAGACGGAGTCGGCGAGAGACAAAGGCGAGAGGCGAAGGGGATGAGACAGAACATGACAGGACACGGTAGCAACGCATATGAGACCGGATTTGATGGGACGAGAGAGGAGAGAAAGGGAAAGGGAAAGAAGGAGAAAGAGGCAAACGGCAACTTTTTGAGCATTCGAGGGCTAGACATACGGAGTACGAGTACGGGCGTGGCCGCAACGCTGCGCAAAAGCCGACATTAGCATCATTATTCTGATTATGACTCCGTATCGTACAAATGAGTACTGGACCGTCGCTGTTGCTCGTGCTGATGCTCGTGCTGATGCTGATGCTCGTGCTGGTGCTGGTGCGGCATCCCGTCTTGTCCTCCTCCATGCTCGACTGCATCGCGCATCCCTCGTCGGCCGCCGTTCTCGTGTTGGCTGACGCCGGCAAGCTGAAGGGCTCATATATTACGGCCGCCTGTCATTGGCAGTTGGGCGGCCGAAGCCATCGCGACCGGCGGAGATGCTCCAGCATAGCGCAGCAGCGCCGCCCGCAGCCAGCCACAATTTAGGCGTTCACCCACTGAAGCGGCGGCCTTGGAGCAGTGGTCCGAGTGCGGCCCTCGGTCGAAGTTGGCCTGGAAGGCTCTAGCGGCACCCGCCTGCTTGGCCTGCCTGGCGGGCGAGTGATCAGCGCCTAGGGAGAGCAGGAGCCCTGCAAGCTGCCGCCGTCACAGACCGTCGGTGAGGGCCAATGGCAGCATCCCTGAGCCGCAATCCATGGCCGCACCTGCACCTGGAAATGGATGGATGGTGGCAGGGGTGGGGCTTGCCGGGCCGTGGCTGCCTTTCGGTGCCTCGGTTCTGGCCAATCCTGCCGCTCCCCGCCCCTTCCTCTCAGGCCCTGTTTCCCTTTTCCCAGTGCTCTCAGAGAAAGGAAAGGGCAGGACTGGACGGACTGGACTGGACCTCCCTGCAGTGGCGCTCTCCGCCGCCAAAGTCAGCCGGCCAGGGCAGTTGCGAGTTCCAACGAGTAATTTTGTCCACATGGTGATGCCGCAGGTACAGAGAACCTATCGCTACCCGAGTCTATCGAGCCTGAGAACACGTTTGGCTTGTACCTGGATACCTGGTACGAGTTATACCTACACAATCGGAGCACGTCTAGAACAATGGACTCTCCAGGGAGGCAGGCGCAGCCAATGTCGTGATGTCAGCTGAAGCTCCATCAGGCAACCTCCACTGCCCGCTTATCAACCAGAACTTACCTCGACAAAGACCAGTAATATCTTACGACGGAGTACCTACACGCCTTGTCTCGTATTGAGTACATCAGAGTAACACGGCGCGACAGTGGACTGTTCAGCGTGATGCGCGGTGCGGTACAGCCCGCCTCGTACCGTGCCTGTCCCTTCCCCTCCCTTGCCTCCCGTCTGCTCCCGCCCACACCAAACATGACGGCCCTGTCCATGCTTGGCTGCGACGGTGCTCCGTACCTGACCTGCCAGTAACCGTATTACGACACCCGTAGCTATAGCTCCGATAGTACTCGTAGTAGTACTACTACTAGTAGCAGGTAGCTGCGCAGTTACGCAAGAATGAAGCGAAGAGTCATGCACAACCTCACGCACTCGAAAGTGACACCCGTAAGCTGTGCCCTTACCCGTGCGTGTGTGTGCCCCAGACAGGCGGCGGCCCGCGGCCATGATGCAAAATCCCACGTCTTGCACCGGTTTGTACGACCTGACGTTCAATAGTCATGCAGCTCCGTCATCGCGCGCTCGAAACGGACTCGCCTCTCGTCTCGCCCTGCCTGGCCTTGCCTCGCCTTGTCTCGCTTCTGCGCCCTGCGTCGCCTTGCTCGAATATCGTCCCCAGCTAGCCTCTCTGGCCGTCGTCCTCCATCCTCGCCGAGCCGGGGAGCTCCGCATCTACGCTCTCGAGTCATAATGATAGTACGCTACCTGCACTGTACATGCGGGCTCGACTCGTCCTTTGTCTTTGCCTGAAACGCTCTGGAGCCATTGGTCAGATGTCGTTCAGCTGTGACCGAAGCAGCTCAGCAGGAGGGGAGGCCCGGGGCGGAGTGGCCAGCTCGAACAAACCTCAGCTCATGTCCGCATCAGGCTCTGGCCAATGGCGCCGCCGCCACTCGCTTTGCCATGACGGCAGTGCTCGGCGTTGGTAACAGAAACTCGACGGTGGTTGCAAGGGCAAACAAGGACGATGCCACACGCAGTCGCCTAGCACGACGACGGCCAGCTCCAGCCAGCGCCATACCCACCCGAGCCGGATCCAATAGCCAGGTACGGACCCGACAAAGACGAGAAATGGATCTGCTTTCGGTTCTCCTGGCCCCGTTTTCGCCAATCCCACGCCCCCGGGATCCCTAGCCTCATGCTCGCACCTATCCGCAACCTTGTCTGGCGGTGGTAGTGGTCAGGTAGTGCTACTCCTCCCAGCGCATTGGATGTAATACGGCCTGTACATGCCGCATGCATAACAGCCACGAGCGCACAACCGTTACGGAGCAGGCCATGTACAGGTACGACTCGTGCATCCATCCACGGACAAGGCCTCGTATGCGCCGATGCGACGCACCCCGTTGCCTTTGAGCTCTTTGCGGCTGTTCCTGCTGCTGCTGCCGCTATGTACATGGACGAGCAGCAAGACTGGCCGACAAGGGACTTCGTGCATTGCATCCGGCCGGAGCTGTCGTCGCAGCAGCAGCTCCAAGAATGGAGCGGTGGCATGCGCATTGCCTTGCCTTGTACCTTGCTTGCCCGGTATGACCACCGTCTGCGCACATCCTTGGCCTCTTGTCTGTGTCTCTCACGCGCACATCCGTCAGTCCATCCCATTCATGCCATGCCATCCATCCATCCAATCCATCCCCATCCTACCTATCAAGACCCTCCCCCCGTTGCTTGTACCTGCCACGCCGCAAATGGCGTCTCCCCAACAACGTGTGCTCCGTCCACCTACATGACGCTGCGCCCGACGTCCGGCCTTGTCGCACCCCTTACATTCTTAAAGGGACGGGGAGGCCCTGCGGCTGTTCACTTAGCTTCTTTGCCCTCCGCGTGATTCGAGTCCTTTTGGTGATAGTGTCTCCTTGCGATCCGAGGACGAGGCTTGGAGTCGTGATCCGATATCCAGCATACCTTCTCTGCACACCTCCCGCTCCTCACTCACACGCGCCACAGCCCTCATCATACGCTCATCCAGACCCTCAGCCGTCACACATCATTACGCTCACCACACGCTCAACCGCACACGCCCATACCTGCCTCCTCGCTATTACCTACATATACATACCTGACGCGCACGCGCACGCATATACATACACATCCATATCCATACCCACATCCCACATAGCCAGCCATTCATATACTACTCTCAATACGTACGGCATCGTCTCACTTGCCGTGATACCTGGTTCGCAATGATACCGGCTCGTTCGCTCCCCAGCGCCGCCGACGGCGAGGCTGATGACCAGTCCAGTTTCGACGACGACGTCTCGTCCGCCGGCGCGGGCTTCTCTCGACTGCCCGCTGAGCTTCGCCTCAAGATATGGTCCTGCTCGGTGGAGCCGCGCATCGTCATTCTGGACGATCTTGTCCATAAGCCAAAGTCGTATCCCATCCCTGTTGTTACTCGCCTAAACGCGGAGGCTCGCATCGAGACTAGAGAGGGCTACGAGCCGGTTGGCCGGGGTTCTCACATTCACTTCGCCAGAGACATACTGGTCTGTGATCCCAACATCGCTGACCAGAGCTCCAACACCCCCCTAGAGGAGCTGGCCCCGCTAGTCGAGAGGCTTGCCTTTTGGGACTGCTTCCCTGACGATGGACGCATCGAGGGGCCGAACCACTACTCCGCTTACCTGGAGAGGATGTACCCCCAGGAGCGCCCAGGCAAAGTCGAGTTTGACAAGTTTTGGTTCCCAAACTTGAAAGACCTGTGGATTGTCAAGATTGGCGAGGTGGACAGGTCCTGGATGGTCGGCGTGGACCAGAACCTGCCCTACGACGTGCGTCTGCGAAAGACTGCCCGGCAGTTCCGGTACTGGATCGATGAGAACATTGTCGAGATTGCGCCCTTGGACCTGGACGAGCCGGAAACCAAGGCCGTCCTGCGGCAAGGGCGATGTGGCAAGGAGGATTGTCAGGCGCTCAACCATGGACGGTCCAAGATGGTTTCCAAAGTCATTTTCATGGACGGCAAGTATCGTTCCATGGAAGGCTCCGAAGGCTGGCAGCGCATCCTGCCGTGGTCCACTAAGCTGGCCCAGGCCACAGAGAAGGACACTTCAGAAAACAGAATGAGATGGATCATTGTGGAGAGGATACTGACCTTTTCGCTGCGGTGGGAGGGCCCCGATGACGAGGTAGTCACCTCGGCACGACGAAAAGTACCGGAGATGCCTACACGACAGATGGTGTTTGGGACAAGATAGAAGGGGATGATATCCTTCTCTCAACCATTCTTTCTGGCAACCTACACGAATTCACCTGGCAGCAGCTCAACACGGTTTCACGGCTTTGCGCAACATAGCCCGAAAAAACAACTGCTCTTACTTGGGGCAAATTGCACGCTCAACTCGACATATTTTCACCTCTTACTTAGGGGACATCTAAGGCGGCCGCGCTCTGACGGCTCATAGTCGGTAGAAGCCCTTACGACTTTATCTGGATAACATGGACATTTCTCTCTTGTGAAGTCTGGCTCAAGAGAAAAGGCATCATTTGGTTGTGTACACGCAGGTGGTGCATCGTTGGAAGTACGGACAGAATCGCACACGATCTCAGCCAGTCGTTCATTACAGCGTTACACGGACTGCCAAAAGATGATCATCAAATTCAGTCTATTACTCAGCTACACCGTACGACACGAGGCCGGGTCAACTGTCTACCGAGGGCACCATCGTACGACCCTTGACTACGATTGTCTGATCAACTCGGTCCGGTACTACTGGGCCGGGAGACGTGATGAAAGGAGGGACTCAGCTGCTGGTCAACACAGCTCAAAAGGTTACCACGGCGACAGGTTATACGTCGTCTATGCTTGATGATTGATCGACACGATTCTGCACCAGCGAGTCAACGTTCCCCGGGTCCTATTCTGGCAATCTATCAGCTGAGGGACGAACGGGCAAAGATAAATGATGGGCTTCCGAGAATGGCAGTGTTGAGGTATTTTGATTTCTTTGCATCTTCTCCTACTGTCTATTCTACTTGGTTTGGTGTAGTCCTTTCTGTACGGGATCTTCTTCACTTGTTTGGATTCAGGGGTGGGAACGAGATTGCTTTTTTGGTGGAAAGGAGTTACTACCATCCGTTTTGCGGCATCATTGGAGTCATTGGGCAGGCAAAGGTCAGACGTGGAAGAAATTGGCAGACTAATAAGCCCTTCGCAGGGACGCAATGTACGAGTTTAATGAGATGATTATTCGACAAGGGAACTGCTTCATGGAGGATTGTTTCGTTTGTTACATGGTATTCGAGCTGCTGAGGCTGCTCAGACTGGATTGTAGGAACGTGGTGGTTGCAAAAAAGGAAAGCTAGGTCAAATTGGTATATCTACTTCTCTCTATGCATGGAACACAAAGTAATAACACAGGGTTGGATATCGGTTGCAGTGTCTCCTACTACTTCTTGCCAGCCTGCCCTTGACACACCACATTTTACCTCTTGATGGTGTTGAGCAGAGGCTCCCCCTTGTCCAATCTCTCAAGGTTCTGGAGCATCACGTCTGCTATTCTCTGGGTCAGCTTGGTAGACTGCCAGCTGATGTGTGGGGTGATGAAGACGTTGGGAGCCTTCCACAGCGGATGTCCCTGGGGCAAGGGCTCCGGATCCGTGACATCGAGAGCGGCCCCACGCAGGAGACCCTGTTCAAGGGCCTCGATCAGGGCCGGGGTGTCGACGATGGGGCCCCGCGCGACATTGATGAGGAAGGGCTTCTTCTTGCCGAGGATCTTGAACTGCTCGGCGCCAATGCAGCGTCTGGTCTGGGAGTTCATGGGCAGGCTGAGGACGACGAGGTCGAGGTCCTGGTTGAGGAACTCGTTGACGGCTTCCGGGCCGGAGCCGGAGAACCACTTTGCCGGGAAAAGGCCGTCCGGGTCGCCGGTGCCGGGGACGGTGTACTCGTGGAGCTTCTTGGACTCCGGGGTCGGTCTCGCGTTGGCGGTCTGGACGTATATCTCCATGCCGAGGGCGTTGGCGAGGCGGGCGACTTGCCGGCCGATTGAGCCGTAACCCATGATGCCCCTGATTTTTTTTGTTTTGGCTTGCGTTAGTCTTCAATCAAGAAAGGGATGCATTTTTGTTGTTGTTGTTGCTGGGTTTCGACAGGGACTTACATGCGGAGACCCACGGAGTCGGTGACGGTGCTGTCGAGGCCCCTGCTGCCCTTTATCCATTCCTCGCGTTCGGCTTGCTTTATGAAGGTTGTGAAGTAGTGAGAGTGGGTGAGCCAGGCACCAATTGCCCACTCGGCAATCTGAGGTCTAACCGTTGACGATATCACGATGTCAGCCCTGCATCTTGTACACTAACAAACAAACCAAGCTCAGGCCAAAAGACACAAGAACAGGACATGGAAGGGAGGAAGATGAAAACCCACGGGTGAACTCCGCTGGTGCAGCAAAAGGCCACATCCTTGTTCAAGAACGTCTCGTGCTCGAGCCACGAATCCCAGCCTGCGGACCCCAGCTGGACGAACCGGACGTTCTTGAGCCTCTCGGCGCGAGGCGGCCGGAAGAGCGAGGCCAGTGTGACGCCGTCCCAGACCTCGTCGGGGAGCGTCTCCCCTGGTGCGATGCGCGGGTCGCCGATGGAGACGATTTCGAAGTGGACGCGGAGCTGGGGGAAGCGCTTGGCGAGGGTGTCGAGGAAGCTTGGGGGGAGAGGGGAGGGGAAGAGGATGAGGAGCTTGTCTTTTTCTGTGATGGCCATCTTGTCTTTCGGGGTGGGAGGACTGTGGCGATGAGGATTGGTGATGATGATGGAGGAGGAGGAGGAGGAAGAAGAAGAAGGAGGAGGTTAAGGGGGGAACTATGGAGGGGGGAGTCGTCGCTCTGGCGTTTTTATTTGCTATCTCTTATTCTTATTACTCCTGGTGGAGGGAGGCTGGAGGGATATAGATTTACAGGAGGTTTCTTTGAAATCGCGTTACGTATAAGACCTAGTGAAGTTTATCGCTCGGGGCGTGAGGAGGGTGAGACGGGGAGTGAGATGACAAGAGGAACGGGCAGCTTTGGGCGGGAAACGGATCTCCGAGATGCGATAAAAATATGGAACTCGCATGTACGAGTACTACTATTACAGGTGTGAAGCTTTGCTTGTGGGGTGATCACATCATATCATGTGTATTTGTATTAATCTTCATGCTACCCCCTGTGAGTCTCTGCTGCTGCTGCTGCTGCTGCTGCTGCTGCTGCTGCTGTTGTTCGGCTTGCGGCGTTAAGTCCGAAGGGCTTTTGGCGGGAGAGCTGTGTGTGCGTATGTGTGTATCTTCCAGGAATTTCTCCTTCTGGTCTGTATATCCGGGGTTTTGCGAGGGTTGGTCTGTCAGCACTGGTTGAAGCCACTCGGCGAGCAATCCGACTATTAGTTCAGGTGATAGTACTAGGGACGAAAAAAACGGTTTGTCAAATGAAAACGAGCTTGGTCGTTATTGCACGTGTGAGCTTTTCGGCTCAGCTATATCCCGGAGGGGGCTAATTATGTTGAATCTGTATATCTGACGTTTGCTAGCGACAAGCCATGAGGAGGAGCATTGTCCGTTGCTACAATCGCGAGAGAATGTGGTACTGGGCAAAAGAAGGTACTGTATTTGACAGCAAAAGCACATTATGTCAAATGGTCTCCGCCTCTGCCATAATGGCCGCATAAACTCAGGTACAGGCGTATAATGTGTATGTACTTCCTACGTTATGTGGCGTAAGGATCCGAACGAGACGAGAGGAATCGGTTCCTTGCGGGCAAACGTTTCTGAAAATGGGAAAAAGTGCCGACGTAAGGATTCTAAAGGTTGAAGTTCGACTGCCGTTTGAGACCTTCACAGCGCGGCAGCGTTCTATATGGGCTTGTAAGATTTCCAGGTTGCCTTTGGCTGTTACCATGTAGATGGTTGTCTTCTTGTCTTCTTTTTGGGGGCTTTTTCTTTTTTAGCCCATCAACTTGATGCCTTTATGTCGTCGGTAAATAGTTTTTTTTTTTTTTTCTTTTTTGTAGAGATAGATATGTTTTGGCCTTCTATGCCTGGTGCGAGATTTGCTAAAAGATGAGACGCCTTCAGAAGCCAATAAGCCCGCCATCCTTCTGGGCTGTGAGATTTTAACCCGGAATCCTTCTCGAGCCTTATACCTCACATGAGATACCTACTCTACTATACATACCTGCTATGTCCTAAGTCCGCCCACCTCAAGCCCTACCTTTAGTCGCAAGTTGTTGGTAATCAAGTTCAGACGAGTAGTAGGTATTACTAAACAGACGAACTTATACAAATACTCTTCCACCAGATACACGTAATCATGCGCTGTTCCTCTCCTTTTCTAAGACCAACCTACCAAGTTCAGTTGGTAAGATGAAAGTGATTCCAAATGTTACACATGTATCGATGGACCAACACCCGGGGCAGACGGAGCGAAACAGCATGCTGCTTTTCTTTTCTTTTCTTTTCCTTTTTTTTTTCCTATCTGATTGTATCGGCCCGCGCCGGGGGTTCCGCGGTTGTCCGGGTCCGATTTGACCGACAGCCGTGATAGCTTGCTCTTGTTCCCGACTCTGATATCATGTGCTTCGTGCAGGGATGGGCAGTTGAAGAGGCTTCACCATGTTCCTCGATTGATTCAAAACTGTAGCAGAACCTACTCAAACAAGTTGCAGATTTGGTGCCTTCATCTATATCCTGTATCTGCAGACCAAGTAGTACAAACCCAAAAACATGATGATGATGCTCCTCCCCCTGCCCATTCCCAATCATTAAAGCTCCCCTTGCGGGTAGGTTACGTCGTGTCTGAAAATCGCCGCTTCCAGTCACGCTTTTTATATCATAGCCCTTTGCATGAAAGCATTCACCCTTAGTTCCCCCTCTTCGCATTCCGTCTTTGGCTCGAGGCCCTCGACCAGGCCCCCGTAGGCGTCTTGAACCGTACAAAACTCAAGCCAGGCGTCGACGCTGCGCCTTGTGCCCTGCTCGGCACATTCCTGCCGACGCGCTCCCAGTCGCCGTTGGTGCCGCCGTTGGTGCCCCCCTTGCGGTGTTTCTCGTCCTCTTCATCGCTGCCGCCAACGGCTGAGCCCGGCAGCATCATCGACTTGGGCTGTGACTTCTTCATGGCGCCTTGGAGAGCCGCCCAAGACTCCACCTGGCCGTTGATGGCTTCTTCAACGCAGTTGCACTCGTCTCCCGCGGGGCAAAACGTCTCGCCCGCAGCGTGCCACTCGGCAAGACAGTCCTCGTGGAACGCGCAACCGCAGGACAGACACGGCGGGAACAGAGCGTCTACAGGCTCCAGGCAGTATACGCAGCGGAGCTGGGACTGCACACGATGGCAGCGGTCGCACGTCCCCACCGCTCCGCCAACCTTGGACTCGGATGATGTGTACCGTAGAGGATCCAGCTGAATCTCGTGAACGCGGCAGATTCCCGTGACATCCAAGCCACGGCCCGATGCAGCCAGAACTTGGAGCTGGTCCTTCTTCCCCATGATGATGGGCGATGACCCTGTCTTGACATGGGTAGCATTCCCGCTCGCCCCATCGTGGAGCGTAAACGAGTCATGGAAGCTTCCCTCTGGCCCCGTAAACGGCAGCTCGTCCTTCAAGACGTTGAACTTCATGACCTCCAGTCGGGCGAGGGGCTGCCGCCACATCTGCAGCATCTCTGCATATGCATATCGGTAGTTGGCGTAAATGTGAGCACGGCTTGGCTCCAGCAAGGGCTCACTCAGCCACCCGTCATCGTCGAATATTGTCTGATCTTCCACGAACACGGACACCTTGACAGGCACCAGAGACAACAGGTCGTCGCGCCGGAATTCATCGTCGGAAACTGAATTCCTACCTTCGCTGGAATCGCCAACGGGGTAGGATGGGCCTGCGCTGGCATACCCAGTACGCGGTGTCAGCGTGTTCAGAATCATCTCTGCCGGGCTTGGCTTCTTCCTCAGCTGGCCGGCGGGCGGTGAGTTCGAACTTGCTCCCGTAAACGACCGCGGGAAGTTTGTCGAGAACGCCGAGCTTAGCCCAGTGCTGACCCTTGAAAGAGGCCGGTTGGAGGGCGATCGAGATAGCACTGTTGACGGAGGCTCTGCATCCGCGGTGAGGGGTCTCGGTTTCGACGGCGGCGTCTCGCCACATGAAAATGAGTTTGTGGCCGGTTCCCCAGCCCACATGATACCATCATCCGAGGCGTGCGAGCCAGCGTAAGGGAGCGGCGTGTGAAGAGTCCCCGGTGTCGTGACGTTCGAATGTGGTACGCCTCGACCATATATGTTCCACATAGTAGCGTCTGTGGGGAAGTAGTCCAGGGAGAAGGACGGTGCCTTCAAGGGCAGCGGCGTTTCTTGCGACGGGAGTTGCGACTCAACGTAGGCGACGCTGTCATCGGCTGAGGATTCGCTAAAGATGCATGACAGCATCGCCAGCATCTGGATGTCGGCAATCTTTTCAAAGTAGTTGAAGAGCTCCATGATAAAGTCCTTGGCAAGCGGGTGTCGACCCCATTTGACCCTACCTAGCAAGGCACCATCTCCTGGGGTGCCGCCTTGCTCGTTCTCCAGTGCGCGCGTCTTGGACACAACGTCGCGGGCAATGACAAGGATGGAGCTCCGACTCTGGTTGCTGGCCAAGACCTCGAGTGGGATCCCCTTCTTCAAGAGCAGACCCAGGTACTGCCAAACATTCATGAGATCAGTGTACCCGTACTTCTCCGCGACGCTTGCGTTATGCTTGCAGACATCTGCTCCATCCCCAAAGATGGCATACTCCTGGGCGAACTCCTTCTTGGAAGGCAGGTCTGGTCGTAGATCGTGAATGGAGATGACGTTCCGGGGTCGGGCAATCCTTCGACGGCTTGCTCCAGTACCCGTGGCAGTGCCTACTCCCGTCCCCGTGCCCGTCCCGCCGCCGCTGGATCGGATGGATCGATCCTCGCTCCAGGTCTTCCTGAGATGGCGGCTGGAATGATACCACAGGCTCATCTTGTGTATCGACGTAGACTCAGAGTCATCCGATGACGACGATGTCTCGTCTGTTTCGCCAGAGTCTGACTGATCTTCCGAAGCGGATGCCTCCTCCGTGGTGTACTTGTACCGCGGAGGAGGGTCGTGTGTGAGGCGGCCAAAGCCCGCAAAGAACGGCTCCATCCTCGGGCGGTCCTTGTTCACATCCGCACTTGTTTGGTACAGAACCCGAGCCTTTTCTTCCTTTGTTGGGAAAAAGCAAATAAGGCGGCCGTCGTGCGAAAACCGAGCGCCACAAGTGAGGGGAGGCGGGGGGATGATGAGACGGGCTGGAGTTGCGATTGCAGTATCCGCATCAGCAGGAGGCAGCTCTTGGGACATGGATGCTGACCCTCCTGCCGGGATGTCTTCTTCCTCATCGGTCGAGCTATCGTCGGCTAACCCATCAAGGTCATCATCCAGGTCGCGGACGTTTTTGAAAAAGGTGGTGCTTGATTCGAGATCAACTTCACCCAGCAAGTAGGTGAATATCACCTCCAGGCAGTTTTGCTTTCTCCGCAAAAACTGGTCAGCAAGCTCATGTAGCTCACGGTCCAGTCGTTTGCGCGTTTCTTCCGGCATGAATGAGCTCTTCTCAATCATGAATCTCGGTGCCTTGAGCTTGGGATACTCCAGGGGTATGTCAATCTTCACCTTGATGAAGATGGCTTCTCCGTCCTTCCCCCACGGACCATTAAGTGAGGCAGTCAGGCTCAAGTTATCCATGTCAATGTTATCCCACTTGACCTTTGGGATCTGGGTACTGACGCGCAAGAGCTCCTCTTGAATGGTGTCGGGCTCTCCCCATTGGTCGTCAGGGTAGCCGTGACCCATGACGCCGGAGTCCTTGGACATCAGCCGCCTAGGCCCGTCCAGGATACCCTTTCTCTTCGTGATGCTAATCCCCTTCATCCAACCGATTTGGGCCTGACTCGGATCCAGCCTCTTGCCCGATCCACTCTTGACCTTCATCGATGGCCCACGCCACGCCGGCCGCATCTGACGGCCAAATGGCGCAGAAGCTCGTGCGGCAGCCGTGAGGGCGCTCTGCCTGTGGCCTACTCCGCTTGTGCTTGTTCTGGAATCTTTCATTGTACTCGCTCGCTTGTCGAGGTTAGACCCGTCGTCAACTGTGCGAAAGGTCTTGTATGTCGCGCCTTTCCGCGTGAGGCTGATGCCGTCCTCGGCCGGTTGCCCTTTTTTGTACCCAACGGCGGCGAAGATACTGGGGTCGATGCAGTGCAATCTCAGCTCGTTGTCCGTTCCCCACGATACAAGCTGGAACTCTCGCTCGTCGATGTTGTCTTCTGTGACCCCTCCTCGGGATCTCCAGAGAAATTCCTTTGCCTGGTGGCCTCCATGGCCCGGAAACACAGCAACTGGTCTCTGCGATTTCTCGATAGTGGGGTCCTTGGACCATAGGCGCTCATACAAATACAGGTCTCCCGGCTCGTTCTGGGGCATCGCGAGGAGGCCGTGTCCAAAGGGTGTATGGCGGGCTCGCCAAACCGGATACTCGGTCTGAATCACATGTTCCAGCTCATTGCCGTCATTGCTGTAGTCCCAGAATTTTATGCTCTGATCCAGCGAGCATGTGACAAGGCCAGTCGTCTTTGTCCGATTCCAGTCCAGGCCATAAATCTTCGACGTGTGCGCCGTGATGGACTTGACAGGCTCCGACACCTTGCGCTCGTCCCAGATGCGCAACCAGCGGTCGTGCGATGAGGCTAGAATGTGCGGATCGCGACGATTATACTTGACCTGCGTGGCGCCGGCAAAGAAGTCACAAAATGTAAGTACGGGTTGGCGAGGCCGGCGCAGATCCCACCAATGCACGTAGCCATCGACAGAGCAGGTCGCCAGCAGATCGGGATGGTGGGCCGAGAAGTTGACGTCAGTGATGGCTCGGGTGTGGCCCTGAAGAGAGTGCTCAATTGCGCCAGTGCTCGAATCGTCCCGGAGATTCAAGTTCCATACCAGCGCACGGTGGTTTGCTGTCGACACAACCCAGTAGTCTCGAGCTGAGAAGGGGGACCACTGCACGTCGACTACCAGCCACGGCTGGCCAGAACCTCGAAGACGCCGCGGCGGGCTGTACGGCGAGTCCAAGTCGATGATTGCAAGGCCTTCGGGTCTATGGACAGCTGTCAGCAGCCAGCCTTCACGGCTGTTGGGCGCGTTATCGACTCACGACGCCAGAGCAATGTCCCTCCCTGAGGGCGAAATAGTGGCCGAGCCAACGACGCCCTCGACATGGATTGAGCCATCGGCCTCGAAGCTCTCGCTGTCGTACGCCGACTTGATGACCCGGCCCTTCTTGGGCGAGTCAGGCAGCTGGTCGAATGCCGGCATCGTCGTCGGTTTTCTGCTGCTGATTGATTGCGCCTCGCATGTCGCGGCTCATCTGCGAACCCTGGCCGGAGTGACGGTCGTGGTGCTGCCGACAGCTACAAGCAGCTCGCATTATCCATTCGACGTCATATCACAGGCGCGCAATGGGCCGTGCCGTTGGTTGTGTGTCGTGAGAGCAAATCCGGTCCTTGAAAGCCGTGAGATGCTGCTGAGATGGTGGTTGAATTGGGCTGAGGGCGCGCTCTGCTGCTTTGAGAGCTAAGGTACCTGAGGTAAGGCAAGGTAAGGGTGTCGGCGCTCCATGTACCCTGCAAGTCACTGCGCTAGTGGTTCGAGCTGCGCCGGTACCTGAGCTAGACTTTCCCCCTCTGTACGGTCCCATCAAGGTTGCTGGTATCACACGACGCCAGCGATTGCACGGATTCCTCAAGTGACAAGGAAGCACATCAAATTGTCATTGTCAGGTATATATCGGACATATATTCCAACTGCCTAAAAGCAGTCATATATAGAGACAGATGCTATAATGGAAATATGCAATTTGGGAGATTTTGTACATGTCTGATGACTCAAACCCAGTAAATCAACGTCAAGCAGCCATAAGCCGTGAATCTGACTCTGGTTCTCCTGCCCTGTATCCGCGGTCACTGTATCGCAAACAGCCCCTCTGCTGGCTTGCCTGCCTTGCCGGCCTTTTTTGTTCGTCAACTGTCGCATGCCCCGCCTCATACTTCTACCACTTCTACCCTGCACAACTCAGCCTTTGCACCGAAACCAGCGACAAAAACCGCGATCTCTGTCGTCAGCAGCAATAGAGCAGCTGGACTACTATTCTTTCTCCACTCCTCTGTCACCCATCCAGAGCTGCGCGGCTACCATAGCGGCAAGACCACTTCAAGATGGCCCTCCCAAAGCGCATCATCAAGGAAACAGAGCGCCTCATGGCCGAGCCGTGAGCCCCTCCACCAGACGCTCCGGCCTGGCCGTATACGCTGACCATCTCGCCGTCCACAGAGTTCCTGGCATCAGCGCAGTGCCTCACGAAGATAACCTGCGGTATTTCGATGTCGAGATCCACGGCCCCGCGTCGTCACCATACGAAGGTACATAGATCAGCCCTCTACCTAGTACTATTAGAAACGATGTCGCAAAACGGAAGCACCAGGGTTTCTAACTCGGATGCAAAAGGCGGCATTTTCAAGCTCGAGCTCTTCCTCCCAGACGACTACCCCATGACTCCGCCCAAGATTCGATTCCTCACCAAGATCTTCCACCCGAACGTTGACAAGCTGGGTCGCATCTGCCTGGACGTGTTGAAGAGTAGGTTTTTTTTTGCCGGAAGCTGGCGAGGGCGAGCCCCGACGTTTCCGACGACCAAAAGTATGAGGCTTACACAAGCACACAGACAACTGGTCGCCTGCGCTGCAGATCCGGACGATTCTGCTCTCTATCCAGGCCCTCCTCGGCGCCCCCAACCCCGATGACCCCCTCGCTCCCGATGTCGCCAAGAGCTGGAAGGAGGACGAGGCGGCGGCCATCGCAACGGCGAGGGAGTGGACACAGAAGTACGCGAAGCCATAGACGTAGAGGCCGCGCATAAGAAGGAGGACATCCCAAAAAAGAAAAAGAGAGACTTATACGCATATATCCCCAAAGACCTGCAACGACAGGGTTTACGGGGATATGGAGCATTCTTATGGTAGGAGTTGAGAGATTTTCCCTTTTCCCATTCAGTTCATTTTTCTTTCATTGGCTCGGTTTCACTTTATGTTCTAGAAGACTCGAGTTTGTTTCGGGATGAGCAATGACACTACCTTTTACTGGCAGCGGTTTCATGGTGTATGTTTTAGATAATTATGTCTGGTCTTGGTAGGCATATCGCTACTTGGTCAATACATCATCACATCGCATGTGCCGTCTGAAGTTGCTTTATGTTATCGATTCATACAAATATTTCTCCCCGAGCTTTAATTCTATTCTCGCATCGAGACATGATAATGAGTGCTTCTTTTCTTCTTGTTCGCGCACAAGTACATTGAGAGACGCAGGGTTTGGAGAATTAGCAGAGTCTTGACGCCCCTGCCCCGAGTTCTTGTATCTACAATGCTACAGTACACAAAGGGATGTCGAAAGGGGTGTGATATAAAACAAAACTTCTTAGACCATGGCAAGGTCGCCAAACTTCTCCTGCACGGGGTGTTAGCGCTGTATGCCGTCAAACCGCCCAGGAAGGCACATACCTTGTAACCAGGCACCATCCATCTGCCCTTGGACACCAGCTCGGCGGTCTTCTCGTCGATGGACTTCTCGGCAGCGGCAACCTCATCAACGGTAAGCTCGTCGAATGGCCGGGCCTCCTCGATGTTCTTGAGCGTGGCAGCGAGGTCCTTGAGCTCCAGGTCGACGGCCTGCTTGGTGGCCTCTGCGTTCTTGACGGCCTCGACCTCGAAGGCCTCGATGGCCTTGATCTGGCGGGTGACGTCGTAGGTGGTGGGCTTGAAGGCCTTGAAGCGCTTCTCGATCTCGTCGACGACGGCCTGGTTCTTGAGGACGGAGCGGTAGTGGGCGAAGTCGACGGCGGTGGGCTGCTCCGAGAGCTGCTGGACCTTGCGGCGGGCGTCCTCGTTGCGCTTCTTGAAGGCCTGCAGGGAGGCGACGGTCTGGCCGCGGAGGCCCAGGGACTGGGAGACCTTGACCCAGTCGAGCTTGAGAGCTGCGCTTCGCTGTTTTCGGGGAGAATCAAAATTAGCTCATGAACCGCTGGAGACGTGAATGATGGTGGGTTTTGCGCATGAACGGGGGATGCTGCGCCGGCCGTCGATTGCCGGAAATTCTCCGTTCTGCGATGGATGATCAAGCCGTTATGCGCCAATTGAGAGGAAGACTAACCGTGGCCGCCATTTTGAGATGTGTCGTGAGGTCTCGTTGGAGATCGGACTGCGAGATCTTTTACTGGAGGTTGATTGACTTTGCCGAACTTGCCCAGCCTGGGGAGCCGCTTGCACCAATTCGGGTCACGTGGATTAGCGCATGACTCTATTCAACCCAGTGCGAGCTCGAGGTTGTGCACTCCATGACCCCTCCTGGGCTGAGAAGAGTGGGAGAGAGCTTGGAGAAGCTCAGCAAGTCGTTCATTGGGTGCATGCAAACCATTAAGCTTCACATAGCAAGGCAAGCTCATACCATTGCACATGAAAAACATCTCGAGAATCTCGGTACAGCTCACAAGCTGATGGCCGTACAGTTTTGTTATAAGTAGCTCAGCGGAAGCATGTATATCATGGAGTCATTTGTTTCGTTGGACAACGAATAGAGCTCTTGAATGAACAATAATACAAAGCCCCTACGCGCATATGCCTGCGCAGACTAATGAGATAATTTCAAGCACCCTGCCCAAACACCACCGCCTTAGATACTCAGAGCCATGATGGAATTGACAATGTCGTTGTCGTTCTCTTTCAGTGCTTTTACCGCCTTCTTACGGCTGACGTTGGCCTGGGTCATGACGAGCTCAATGTCCTTATCCTCGAGGCCCTCAGCGTCGACCTCCTCGCCGTCGTCCTCTTCTTCCTCTTCCTTCTTGGCCTCGGCGGACTCGCCCTCCTTGCCGTGGTCGTGGTCGTGGTCATGGTCGTGGTCGTGGTCGTGGTTGTGGCCGGCGTGCTCAGCCTCGGCGTTGGCCTGGGCGAGCTGGGCGGCAGCAGCCTGCTGAGCGGTGGCGTTGATGTCCTCGATCTTGGCCTCACCGAAGACGCTGGACGATTCATGTTAGATATCACGTTGCTCTTCCATCCAGAGAGTGCGGCCAGCTGCTGGGGTTTGCTCACATGTAGGTGTTGCTGTTGGGGGACTTGTAGACTTCGGGGTTGTTGATGACGAAGAGGATCTGTCATATCCAGTTTAGCTTCCCGCTTCCCGCTTCCCGCTCAGGCGCATCAGCCCTCTCGTTCTCGGGACTCACGTTCTTGGGGCGGCGGAGAGTGACACGGGTGATGCCAGGGACGCGGACGAGGTTGCCCTTCTCCAGCAGAGCCTTGCGGGCCTTCTTCTCGTAGCGAGAGTGGACTACGGCGGTAGAACCGGCGGGGATGGAGCCGTCGCCGAGCTCCTCAGCATCGGACTCGTCGCTGGACTCATCGTGCTGCTCCTCGACCGTGGGCTTGGTCTTGGTCTCGTCGTCGGGAAGCTCTTCAACTCGGGGGTTGGCCATTTTGAACTGTGGTGGGGGATAACGCTGTTAGCCTTGTGTCCCCCTCTTTGGTTTTGCCGCACGAAAATATTCTCCTCCTCGATGAAATGAGATGCACGTTCGCCTGACGGCTGCTCGTGGCGAATTCGACAGGGAGAAGGAGAGACTTCAGCAATTCGTTAACTCACTGTTTATGCGATTAGCCTGGAGATTGATCTATTTCGTTTAACTCAAACGTGACGCTGCGCAAGGCCGGTTTGTGTTGGGAGTTTGAGCTGCGAATTTCTAGGGCTTTGGGTGGATGACGGCGGCTAACCCAAATTAGGTAATCAGCGGCCTTTTGGTCGCAACTTGAAGTTGGCAGCCAAAGGAGACGCTCATAGGGCCGCCCAAAACCGGTACAAAGTCGCATAGAGCATCAGGGAGTTGGATATACATAGCAATTAAGTAGTAGTTTGTTTGCTTTTACTTGCGATCCATAGGTATTCCTTTTTCCCTTCTTCTACACGAAAATCACAGTGATCCACAAGAATCCTCCCTGTAAGCTTTGAATTCATTTTGTCTGAGTTTCCGTATTGACGCCGTTCATCATAAACGATGAGATGTGACAACATACAGCCCTTCCAGAACGGGAGCAAAAATGAATCCAGCAGAACTTTTTGCTGCTGTTGATTGTGTTTCCTGCCCAAGTCCGTATCCCTCATTCTAATACCATCCATTCAACCCCTCCCTCCATGACTCCAGAGCCGACATCCTTGAATTTATGCGGAGGCCTTGATCTTGGCCAGAGCCTTGCGCTCCTCGAATCGTCGCTGCTTCTTGAGGCGGAGGACCTTGAAACGGTCGAAGTCGGTCAGAGCCTTCCTCCGCGCAATCTGCTCGCGCTTCTTGGCCCAGTTGCTGCCCTGCCACTTGGCGTCGATCTCAGCCTTCTCCCAGGCCTTGGCCAGGGCGGTGTGTCGGGAGCCCCGGTTCAGGTCCTCGATGACGAACTGGGAGAGGAGAGCCTTGCTGAGGTGCAGGGCTTGTCGGGGAACCTTGAGCTTGGGGTCTGAGGAAGGGCCCTCGACGAGAACCTAGAATGTCATCGCATTAGCCATCCGGGTCTGCAATGCCTTCGCGCACGAGATTTCCCCCCCTCCAGTAGACGGTTCGTCATGAACGTACTCGCTTGTGGTCGATGATCTCGACGATGGCGGCCAGGCGGCCGTTGTAGGGGTGGTCGCCGTTGATCAGCACGACACGGCCGACCTCAACGAGGCGCCAGTTGGATCCCTCAATCGATGCTTCGCCCATTGTGACGGAATCTAGTAGTCGGAGGCGTGTTAGTCGGATGCGGTCGTTCGAGAAGAGTCGCAGTTCATTCGGGGGTTGAATGAAGTGGAGGAAGACGCGTGTATCATACCAGATGTCGACGATTATCTGCCGTTCGGGTGGATGTTCTCTGGAGCAGCGTTCACCTGGGAGCCTCCAATGACTTTTTTGAGGGCTCGGCTATCTGAGAGTGTGCGGGCTGAAAATACCCGTTTGCCCTAATGCGAAATTTTCGGATTTTCTGTTTTGCCTTGCTGACTACGCCACTTGTGCCGGCGACTGCGCACGGACCAATCGCCGCTCCCTTATCTTCACCCGACAGTTGAGCTAAAATTTTCGAGCTCTTGTTGATCACCATCTGCTGCACCTTTTGAGGTCCAAAAGGCAGAATTTCAAGCAGGAATCCGTGTGATTTTTCCTTGCAATTCCAAGGTAAGGATGCAATTCTCTTTTCTCCAGAATCCGTTGGTTTTATGATGAAGTAATTTGCGGTTGATCACATGCGGTGGCGCCCTCGCCGGGGTTGCTATACCAAATGAATAAATGAGAAACATTTTCTTACATATTCTGAACCTTTGCCCTCCCATCATCAGTTGTCTTGTTATCCTTCTTTGGCTTGAGCCTGAGCTAACAAACGATTTCAGATGCCTTTGTTATGATCTACGAGATAGCCTTCAATTCAATTCCATCTTACTATATATCGAGCTTTATTTGTGCCTTGCCAACTGATCTCTGTTCTCTCGACTCAAGCTATATCTGTGCCTTGTGTTGTTCCCAACGGCGATGGGGACGTGTCTACATGTATTGAACTTGACCTGTTTATGCAGGGAGTCACCGAAGAGCCTAGGGACATCGCATATGGTTTTGGTGAAGTCATTGTTTGTTTAAACACTTTCCAACTCCGGGGTACTTTATACAAAGTCGATCCAAATCATCTAAGCCTTGCCCTTCTGCCTGAGACGTTCCTCGTCATCTCTCGCTAGCTCGGCATCAATCTTTGCTCCCCGGGATGGCTCGTTGCCGTGCATCTTGGCCTACTCATTGTGTTAAACAATGTCTCAAGTTACCGTTGTATTAGGTACTGACCGGTAGTGTGGGATCCTTCTTCGCCATGGCAGTTTCGGCATCATCGCCAGGCTCAGCTCTCCGCTTCGAAACAGTCAGCTTGCGTCTTCCGTACAGACAAGGGTCCAGTTATAGCGTACCTCCTCTGCAGCCAACTTGTTTGCAATGGACCGCTGATCCTCTAGAAAGTGGTCAGCATCTGAATGTCAGCTCAGCAGCTGTGAGGAGGGTAATTACTTGAATCGTTGTTGATGTGCGAGTTGCGCTGGCCCTCGTTGTAGCGCTCAGCGTGCTGAATATCGGACTGCTTGACGTTTCGCTGATCACCGGCCTCGTAAACACCAGATGTGCCAGCGCTGGAGGTTCCCGACATGATTGCTGATTGATTTCTAGATTTAGATTGTTTGTGAGTTTGTGCGGTACGGATTGATTGCGATTGAAGAAACTGAATCTGGAAGCTTAATCTGTTTGACAGGTGCTGCGTCTTACATCTTTATGTCTGGTAGAGTTGGTGATGATGATCTCCACAAATTGACTTTCATCCTACGTCATGGTTAGTGAATCTCGAAAACGGCCGTACAAAACGACGTGCAAGTTGCCCAACGTCATAGACCATTGGCTCTGCAAGGAATCATGAAGTAATGGTGGGCTTGGTGGCGTTGATATGCCGCAAAGTTGTTGTGATGCCAAACAGTTCCAAGCCAGGCAAACTCGAAGCGATCTTCAAGCGAACTCCAAACTTGGTCTCCGAATGGCGCATGATGGATGGATCACCATTGTCTTTCACCATCTTCACCACCTTTCAGCAACCCTACGCCACACAACGTCAGGAGTTTGACAACTGCGACAAGGAGAGAACTCAGCGAGCTTCTAGATTTACACATGATGAGTTATTTGCAGTGTGCGCATTTGACAAATTCAGACCATAGCTGTGATGACCTCGACTGCCCTACCCTGCACGATACTCGGATTGAGACGCTGTAGATATCGAGCCGTCTCTGGATGCTGCCGTGATATCCATTGACCGTAGTACTCATATCTCAAAAGGTTATCGAATAATGTTCATTCTTCGCGATTTTATACTATTATACTCACAAGTTTGAAACCCCCTCAACCCCTGCAGTAACATACATGTACCAGCAATTGGGAGCCTTTCCGCCATTGGATCGAAAATGTAAGGATAGTAGCTGATTGCAGGTAAAGATGCAGCAGCACGAGCGGCCCATGTTTGCCCCTTTTGAGCCACAGCTGGACGCCTAGAGGCGAATGAAATGTGTCTGATCGTATATTGGCTGCAGAATCAGGAGATTTGCAGCAGGATTCCAGAACGCAGTTGAGGCTGGCGAACCGCCTCCTGGAATATTGGCGATCGTCACACTGCCGCGATCAGCCTCAAGACTAAGGGCACAGCAGGATAGGGAGGCCGCTATTGCAATGAACCCCTGATAGAGAAATTGCCCAAGCAACAATGCAGGACGCTTTGGAAGAGCCTGTACCTACTGCAATCTGGAGAGGGGATACTCGTCCTCCTCGCCAAGGTCATACAATCATATCTGCCCAGCTTGACAACAACTGCCCCGAGTTCTGCCTCGACAACGACGTTGGTGCCCCGTACTTTGTTGTAATACATACCCTGACCGCAACATCGTCAAACCTGTTGAGATCCACTATTAGGGGACCAAGTTGATCTGCTAAGGCACTTTTAGCGGCAGCAGCATTTCGAATCTACCGAATCGAAGCTCGAGTAGCCATGCATGCATGCATGTATGGTGCCTGAATCTATAGCCTCCTTTTCTGCGGCGGCAGCGGAAGTGCCGAGCCGAGCAGCACTTTGGCGAGGTTCTCAGTGTACCTACTGTACCATGCAAAGTACAGACCACGCCAAACATGTCTGCTAGAACGTGCAAAGACAATGAACATGAACAACGAAGCAGAACCGCGATTGGCCATCATTGAAGTGCAAGGTTCAAGCCATTGAATTGTCAAGCGGAGTTGCTGCTGGTGTCTGGTCAGGCAGATGGGGCGACAAGGCTAGCTACTAAGCTACCTAGACAGGCCTCAAAAAGCTCGACAGCATGAAGAACTGGAGACTTCCTACATTCCAAAATGCGGAGCCCCCATGCAATCTCGCTGGTGGATGCGCTGGCAGGGCAGGTCCGAGGCAAGCGGAGGAGCGATATTATTTAGGGGGGGGAATTTGAGTTTTTCTCGCCGTGGTTCGATTTGTTTATAATCCAGCAGTGGTGCTCCATGCTGCTTGCGTTGATGCTTTCGTGTTGGTACATACACGTTACTTTGCATGTAAGCGGCGGCAGCGCTATCACCTCACCATGACGAGCGCCCTGGTCTACGACCGCGGCCTGACCCGCGCAGACTACATTGTGCTGAAAACGCTCGAGGACGACATTGCGAGGAGGAGAGATGGCCGGACAGAGCCGGAACCTGCTGGTGACGCCAAAGTCGACGGCGACTGGCACGACGTCTCGGCAGAAGCCCAGGATGAGCCGCGCCAGGGGGAGCCGTCGGTTGACACTGCCGCCAAGGACATTGCCCTCCTCAAGTCCATGAGGAATCCTGGAGATGCTCACTTTGAGCCGACCATAGTCGTGTCCGTCGACGACCTTCCCAGCCGTCTTCCCAAATCAGTCAACAACCTTGTCCTGCAGCCCTTCATCCGCTGGGCCCGGAAAACAGCCCGGTATGAGACGGACGTGGTGATGATTGTGCATCTCCTACTGTATTTCACGACTTCGGTGCCAAGTGCAGTTCTCCTGTTCCGGAACTTCAATTTCATCCACGGAATTCTCCATGCCGTCATGCAAGTGTACTATGTCGGCACCTACACTCTCATGATGCACCAGCACATCCACCAGCGGGGGATTTTGTCAAAGAAGTACTCGGCGTTTGACAAGCTGTTTCCATACGTCACGGATCCGTTGATGGGACACACGTGGAACTCATACTTTTACCACCACGTCAAGCACCACCACATCGAGGGCAACGGCCCGGACGACTTGTCCTCGACGATCCGCTACCAACGAGACGACATCTTCCACTTTCTGCACTATGTGGGACGTTTCTTCTGTCTCGTCTGGCTGGACCTCCCGCTGTACTTCTTCCGAAAGGGACGCTGGGGGTTGGCGCTGCGTGCGGCAGGGTGGGAGTTTGGAACCTACTTCTTCTACTATGCCATGGCGACCTATGTGAACAGGAAAGCCACTATCTTCGTGTACATCATTCCTTTTCTGCTGCTTAGACTGGGATTGATGGCGGGCAATTGGGGTCAGCATGCTTTGGTCGATCCCGATGAGCCAGACTCGGACTATCGATCAAGCATCACCTTGGTAGACGTTGCTGTGAGTGCCTTTCTAGATTGTTTGTCGCGGCTGCTGAGTAGAAGCTAACCATATGCCTGCAGAGCAACCGCTTCTGCTTCAACGATGGCTATCACACCTCTCACCATCTCAATCCGCTTAGGCATTGGCGCGAGCATCCCGTCTCCTTTCTGGAGCAGCGCAAAACCTACGGCAAAGAGGGAGCAATCTTGTTTCACAACATTGACTTCCTCATGATCACCTTCCGGCTGCTGGCCAAAGATTACGAGCATCTTGCCAAGTGCATGGTGCCGCTGGGAGCGCAGGCGGATCTCACCATGGAGGGGCGAGTTGAGCTTCTGAAGCGCTTGACGCGCAAGTTCTCCGAGGAAGATATCCGGAAGAAGTTCAAGAAACAAGCTTGAAACTTCTCATCACCATGGTGACGACTTTAAGGGGGATTTGATCCCAGTTTCACGGTCGTACATAGATCGGTTGAGCGGCTGCCTCGTGTGGAAAGAAAAAGGAAAGAGCCTCAATTATGTGCCCTGTCAAAGATGGAGCAAGTGGAATCTTGATAAAGCTGGTATATCTGGTTTGGTCTGCACGGTATTGCGATTTGGGTTGTTCACTGCTTGTATAAATGCAGATGTTGATGGCGTTTTGGGAGGGAAATGGACCTTGACGAGTCAACGCATAGACTCCGTATGACTAGAGACACCATTGAAGCTGGTCAAGGCTTGCATGAATCTACGGAGGAGTTGAACTCTTCTCATGAGTGAGATGTGCAGTTGATGCTGTTGTAGACTGAAGAATTGCAGACTGATGCAAGCAGATACCGTGTAACTCCGGTACCTCGGGGATGTGCCGCACGGGCCACCCAAGCTGCTGCTTTTCGTGCTACCAAAAGGTATTAATGCGCGCGATAAGTTCTGGACGGAAGCAACGTCATTTTAACACCTCCATACACGACAACACAACAAGCCTCGTCACTTGAAGCTCCAGATCCTGCCGATAACCTGCACAAAACAAGTGTTCATCATGTTCTTCGTAGGTCACATTGCTTGTCATCATTCATAGCAATTGTCACTGACAATGGCCCGCGTACAGCGCAAGACGCTCGACATCATCACCCTCTTTCACAAGGCCAGCTCGCCGGCCTCTGTCCGAGTCGCCAACCTGCTGAAGCAGGCGTCCGCGAGCGCACAGGCGAATGCCACCTCAGACAGCCCCATCAGCCGCGATCCCTTTGAACTGAACATCACCGAGGATCCCCCCACCGTCGACCAGGTGCAGACGATCCTGGCGTACGTCGGCCAGAGCGGCGCCTCCCAGATTGTCAAGGGCGCGAGGGACGATAAGGATGCGCTGAAGAAGTTTAAGGAGAACAAGGACAACTTTCTGCGACCATTGGTGAGTTGATTGGATGCCTACCTCGTGTGGGAGGGAGACATATACCTGGGGGTGTGAAGTGACTAATGCCTCAGCAGACGGTTGACTGGAGTAATGGCAAGGCGGTTGCCGGAGACAATGAGTCTGAGATCCTGAAGCTTGTGAATGCTCAGAAATAGAGCGTCGAAGCAGATGTTGTATGAGCAGCTTTTGATACTGTGACTTTTTGTGTATACCCCACTCTTTACCATGGACATTTGGGCACTATAGACGGTGGTGAGGAGAGAATGAAAACAGGATTGCTCTTTGTATTCTCGTGGACATTGGTGTTTTCAACAAGGCTCAATATATGGAGGCCGCACGGCACTCTAGTCTTGTAAGGATGGTGCCCTACCTAGAAGGTGATGGAAGCATAGTTGCTTTCTTCTGGCTGACACTCTTTGGAGGCTCTAGGCTCGTGATGTACTCGATTCGTTTGGTTGGCATCGACGCAGTTTGCCAGCTCGTCACACATAGATGCTGGTTCAAAATGATATCTCGTCAGTACTATCAGGGCAATGCCTATTCGGGGATTTTGATATCCTGGATATCCTGGCCGACGAGGCTCTGTCGCCGCCAGCTGTCGCCAGTTGTCAACTTCACGGTATGCCCTGCCAACCCGATTCACTTTGCCCTCACTTCTTCTCTTGAGCCCTGATAGGTCGGATGGAAGCACTGGCACAATTCACCTGAGATGATAGAAAAAAAAAAAAAAAAAACTTCCATCTCTTTCTCCCTCTCTCTCTCTTCTCCCTCCTTCTCTCAACAGTAGCTTCACCATCATCAGACTTTGTTATCATCTACTGCTCGTGAACAACGATCATTGGATACGCCAACAGAGGACCGACTACCTACTGCTCCCAAAGCTCATCAGATTCTTGGTAATACCTTGCTTGCCTCTTCTCAGCAACTGATTGACCTAATCCTGTTTGGCATTAAGCGAGAAGACTCCCCGTCAACCTGGTTGCACCTTCCTCGAGGAAACTACAACCTGCATCTGAGGTACGAAGCTTCGTCATCGCCTTCATTGTTTGTTTACCATTTCCCTTCAACCATCCATTCACTTGTTCATCCTTCTCACGGTCACACACTCTGCTGCCGCGAGTTTTTTTGGATTACAGTATTGGTGTGCCTTGTCTGGACATTCTCTCGCGTACCGGCAATCTTTGATGCTCGCATCCCCTCGCTCTATCCACACTCCTTTTACCTTCTATCACCTTGGATAGTGGCTGGGCCGTCTCCTAGAAGCCGTCTCAACGTCCTTCTTTGCTGACTCTGAAACCGAAGAAAGAGAGACTCCATCATGGCCGACTTCTTCAGGATGAATCTGCAGCCGGCTCCGCATCCAGTGGTCCAAGCCGCTGACTTCCCGCGAGTCCATGCCGAAAACTTCCCGCATGGAGATCGCGCAGCCTTTTCAAAGTATTATCCAACTGGAATTCCCGTCACCTACAAGATGATGCATGGTGTGCACTCTCAGGGGGTCGCCCAGACCTATCTGGAGGACCACCTTCCCGTGGGTTTCTACACCGCCGTGCCCCCCAAGGCAAGGGCCTTCATCTCGACCTCTAACGGCACTCGACCGTTTCGCAAGTTGGATCACATCCTGCCCCAGCGCCGAGTCCATCTATGGTCGAAAGACGAAATCCAAATCATTTGCAACTCGCTCCGCAAGCTGTACTGGAATGAGTTCAAGGACATGCAGCAGCCTCACTGCTGGGACGACCTGTGGACATATTTCGATGCTCACGACCTCTACCATAACGGCTGTATGAACCTCTGGAACGTCATCAACACGATCTGGGATGAAAACAAAATCATCGCTGTGGATGTGAGCCGAGAAATTGCTGCCCATATTGGCCACTGGGCGGATGACTGGCTCAAGAGAGAGGAGAACAAGGAGAAACTGGTTCGATGGGAGGAGTCTCACGGCCCCATCTTCCGCATTCTTGACGACCGAGACCACGAGTCCCTAGGCTTGATTCAGGACGACGTGGTGCCGCTGATAGCGAGCGCATTGAAGAGCCGTCGCACTTTTCTTCTTTCTGGCAGGGAAGCAGGACATGTCGAAGAGCCTGCGGCGCTGGTTGCAGCTTGTTGCACGAACAAGATTGAGAACTGGCTTAGTGAGTTCCTTCGTGATGACCCTGTGGCACTACAAAAGCTAATCCATCCTTCTATTGCAGCTGGTCAGAGAGTTCTCGATAACAATGGGCTTCCGTCTCCTCCCGTAGCTGAGCCGCACCGCGGCTCGTTGTCGCTGAATGGGCCGGCTCCATGCCTTGTGGAAAACGGGAAGCACTACTATCTCACGCAACATTCATTGCCGCCCCCTGAACCACCTACTAGGCCCATTGAGGCTCTTCAAGCTTTGCAAAAGTCTGCCATAGGCGCTGCAGTCTTCCGACCTGCTGAAGCTGCCAAGACTGGCATCGTCATTGCCAATGGTAGCAATATGCCAAAGCGATTGCAAATGGCTGTTGAGAAAGCCGACCCCAAGACATCAAGCGAGGATCAAAGTCAGAGCGATCCTCGAAGAAGTGCATCGATGCCGGAGACATCATCTCCCGTGGCTGGTTCCAGCATGCAACCAAGGCGCAACGAGGTCTTGCTAGGTGCTGGCAATGAACTTGCTGCCGATGCCGAGGTCAGACGGAGTTCTGAATCAGCATGTCTCCCGGATCGTGGCAAATCATCTCCAGGCCACTCCTCGCTTGCAAAGCACTCTGGCGCAGAGACAATGATGGACAAACTCACGAGAGATGTTGCCGACCTGGAGCATACCGAGAAAGGTTTCAAAGGCATGAATCACACGTATGGCGAGAGGGCAACGTTGCCACCCGCTCACAGCCACTTTTACCAACCTCGACCCATTGAGCGACCTGACTAGTACTCAGCAACAGCTCGACAACCGGAGGGTAGAATCTATTCAGGAGGTGACAACCAATTCCCCCCGTATGACGCCGCAAGACTGGAGAACTGGAAAAGTCAGGCTTCAGATGGGCCTATGCATGATCCTGCAGCTATGAAGCAATTCCACTCCTCCCAGAGGCACCGCAGGTCGACCCAAGATGCAAGATATTATGCTGACGGCTTTCCCAATGGCTACATGAGGCCAAGCGCCGGACTTCCTTTCAAATCGTCCACGGAGCCAACCCCTTTCTATATGCAGCCAGAGAAGGAATTCATGCCACCACCACACCTTGCATCGGCAAACGGGCTCCCACATCAAAGAGAGCATCTCTCTTCTGTTGCAAATAAGCAGCTACCGCATTCTGCCCCTTATAGAGATTTCTCAGGGGCCGCTCAAGTCGCATCTCACCACCAATTTGCCAATGGAACGCATTCAGGCGTTGTGCCATCTGCCAAGTTGCGCAACCCCCCTGTCGGCAGCACTGATGAGAACGTTCCACCTCTGCAAGCGACTCGGCCTGAAACCTACCAGGGCTCATCAACCGCCTCGTCGCAAGCCGGGTATAACACCAACGGCCGAATGCATCATAAGGCAGGGCAACGTCGGGGATCACAGGGCCAGAAAACGCATGGTTACAATACGGGCCAGCAAGCCCAAGCCGAACATCATGCTCTGCCGCACGAGTCCTACGCGAACAGATCTTGGCGACGGGGTGCTCAGCAAGATGATGTTCGACAGAGCTCCTGGTGTCGCAATCCCGTGGGCTCAAATTATATGGACTACATTCCTTGTGCTTGCAGTGGCTGCGCCGAACGCAACAGGAGCGTCTGGATTGGGGTCACCCATGACGCTCGTTTGCAGAGGATGGAGATACAAGCGTTTCTCAAGTTTGGTTTGAGTGGCAAATTCGGCCAAGTGGAAGACGTCTGCCCAGCCGCGTCTCTGAACCGAGATGCGTTTATCGTGAGGTACGATGATCCCCATTACAATCACTGCTGTACTGTACTGACCTTTAGTAGATTCGTGGCGGAGTCATCGGTTTCGCTCGCCCTCGCATTTGGTGGGGGCCTGATCCCCGAGAAGAATATCAGGCTGCTCATTCGACCAGTACATCGGTCAAAGTGGATGAAAAACCTGCCATATCAACAAGCGAGGCCGCTGCCACCGGTGCCAGTTACGCACCAACAGCCTACGTGGATGGGAAAGACTTCTTCAAGCACGACTCTTAGCCGCGGACAGACAGAAGCTCGTGGCCCTTCGCGGGCACCGTCCCCCACGCATTCACCAGAAAGGGGTCAACCTGCGGTTTCATCAAGCCCCAAGAGTGCCGAAGTCCTGCCTCAGGCCACTGTATCGGGTGAGAGTGTGAAACAAGAGGGTTCAGTGCCTAATATCGAGCCCACAAGTGCCTCACCAGATATCGATCATTCAAGGCAGTTCTTGGAGTGTATTGGGACTCATGATCAGGCGGCTTCTAGGGAGATAGAGAGTCCGTCCGGACCCAAGCACGATGGTCATCCTAAACCTGGGCACGCTTTTCCTAGGACCACATCGCCTGTTGAAACCAAGCAGAAAAAGAAGAAGGATGTTGCTGCACGGCCAAAGTCGGCATTGGACGATGCTGTGAGCCAAGAGTCCAATCCTTGCATCATCACGCTGCTACCTGGCGAAGGTAATGGCTACGGATCGTCGCAGAAGGCTCAAGTCACGTTACCAGACAGTCCCCTGGGGTCAAGTCCTTCCAGCGCGAAAGAAATCTTCAAGTCGGAACCATCCGTTGTCCCTCACCCAGGAGCAGGGAATGGCAGTCCTCCATCGAAAAGCCAGGAGAGACAGGGTTCAGAGCACGTTACGCCCGAAAGGACAAGCAGTCCGCACCTGAACACCCAGTCCAGGGACATAGACGTGAGAGGCAACAAAAGAAGTGTCAAGGGTAACAAAATAGCGAAGGGCAGCTTGAACGAGGCACACGCTGCTGCTCCGAAGGTGGCAGTAGATCCACCAGCAACTGTACCCAAACCCTCCGAGATTCGTACTGAGCCTGCCGACGTGGGCAGCCATATGCGCGCCTCCAGTATTTTCACAGCAGAAGAGATAAAAGAACGCAGACAGGCCTGGAATAGGATTCCCATGCCATTGGATCCACGGAAATCCAAGAAAGCAGTGTCGAATGCCGGTTCCAGCCAAACCACTACGCCACGAACGTCTGCGCCTGAGGAGACGGATAAAAAGGAGAATGTTACATCATGTGACAGGGGAAGAGCTCATAGTGACCCTCTTGAGAGCTCAAGTAAGAGACACTACGGATTGGGACATTCGATGGAAGGATGTGAGGGCTTGGATGAAGACGAAGTTCGGTGCACCGTGAACGATGAGTGCTCCAGACTCGAACAGGGATCAAAGAACATCAAAGGGACAATTGGAGAGGACGCCTCTGATCCCGCACTAAAGTCACCCGCGTCATCATCATGGGCATCAGACTTGGTGGAGGACACAGGCATTGGCCCAGGAATGGGACCGCTCTCTGCTGCCAACGTCGCCGCGAACCAGCAAGGCAAGGCCAAAACCAAATGGAACAAGAACAAAAAGTTCAAGAAACGCCCTACACCTGCACCGCTGAATGCATTGCAACAAGATGAGGACAGCCAGGGGCGGCCCCCGTCCGCCTTGGACATCAACACCATATCCTTGAAGGGTAAACATGGAGCGGATCACGAGACGCCCACACCGACCACGGCAACTTCCGAATCCATTCCCCGTCCTGCGAGTGCAACAGAGGGACTTGGCGAGTTCTCGTGTGAGCCGCTCAAGGATCCCAAGGAACAAGGAACGACGAGCAACAGGGGTCAATATCACTATGATACCTTACCACGGGGTCGACTAGACTTCAGGCAAAATGCGGGAGGCTCTCTGAAGGTATCGAAGAAGCGCAAGAACAAATACCCTTCAATCAACTCCAAGACTTTTGAACCATCGACAAGCGGCAGGTCCATGCCGTCCCCGTCGAAACACGCAACTGGCAGCCAGATGCCCACAGCCACTGACGGCGCAGGCGCAAGCACAACCAGTTCTTCAACCAAGGCAGAAGCATCGGATGCTTCCAGAAAGAGTCGCCTGAATCCGCTGGCAACTTCGTTCGAGTCTCCGCGCAAGGGGGCCACTGCAGCACTAGGCATTGAAGCCTCTCCCCACTATTCCAGAGCAACCTCGTCTCGGGAAGGACCACGGGAGAAATTTGTCGATAAACCTCAGTCGCCCTACGAGGTCAATATCCTGCAGAGATCAATCATGGCACACGGCTCGCCAACGAAAGGGCCGCAACTCAGAGAACGCTTGAACCGAGGTTTCACGGTAGGCGACGGCCACTCTGAGGTTTCGAACAAGCAGCAGGAGAATAACCCTCCTGGTAGACGGCGACAGGGATCTGGAGACAGGCAGAGGCACGAACGCGAGAACAAGAAGCCGGCCAAGTCGAGTTCCGCTTCACCAAGAAGGGAAGAGGGAAAGACGCAAGCCAACTTTGATGCTGCGGACTGGCCTGCATTGCCTGCGTCCAGGGTGAGATCTGCTACTCTGCAGTAAGGATATGCATCTCTCGAGGGAGATGCTGGGGAACAGTTTTGACAAGCAGCATCGGTTTCGCTTTTTTCTCCTTCTTCTTCATTGTGTTATCTTGGCGTGATTGCCTCTTTAGGGCTAATGATAGTTTGCATGTGGGAATATGGAGGCCATTCTTAGTTATATATGTAGGAACTTGAGTTCATTTATTGGCCAATCTGTTCCAGGCTGTATCAAGGCTTGGATGTCGCGTAGTGTCGTCTGTCGCATCAAAAGGTATCAGCTGATACATGGGCACTTGTGTTTGTCTAGGTAGGTAGGCCTTTTTGTAATATCTTTATGTCGTTTTTGTCTATGCGTCTGAACTCATACACCGTAGCGCATGTTTCGTTGCGCCATTTGCCATTTGTAGTACCCCCCTCATCCAAGCGCACTCGGAGCACTGCCGACGGAGCCCTCTCTCGTCCTTTTTCTTATATATACATTCTCTTGACACCACGATTTACGCCTTGTTCACCAGCCCTGAAACGGTATCCTCGATCTGCTTGTCTGTCAGGCCCTCGAGGGACTGTGCCTTTTCGTTGCCGAATTCTACGTCGCGTTCCAAGGTTAGCGAAATGTTTCCAATGATGCTCTACCCTCCTGTCTTTCTTTCTTTCTTTCTTTCTTTCTTTCTTCTTCCGCTTCTCCTGCAGTCCTTGTTCTCCCTTATCGAAGTTCCTTATCGAAGGTGATTGGGGAGGGGTGGGGAGAGAAAGGCGTACCGAATCGGGCGTAGACTTTGGGGAGAGTGCCTGCGGCTTCGCGGAGGAGGATCGGGGTGTTTGGGTTGGCCTTCTTGATGGCTGGGTATTGTTTTGTGAGGAATGATCTAGATGGGGAGCTTCCGGTTAGTCATTTTCGCATGTACGGAATTTTATGTCTGCGCTCCATGTGTGTGTGTGTGTTGAATTGGAGGTGTTTCCCCCACTACGAGAGGTGCGCTTTTGGAATCTAGCTGTGGGCTGATGGCCATTGGGCTGTTGTTCGTGACATGGCGAGGTGATAGAGTGTGTGTATATGCGACTTGTCGTGTGGGCTGTAGGGGGAGCGAGAGGAGAGAGAGAAGGGTCTCTTTTTTTTTATTTTTTTGCGTACCGGACGGCGGCGCTCTGCTCGGAGGTCTGGCAGAAGAGGAAGCGGACTTCCTTGAGGGACTTGGCGAAGGCGAACTTGGCGGACATTTTTGGGCGCTTTTTTGGTGGAGGGGTTGCAGCAATTGGGCGGCGAGAAGAGTAAGGCTTCGTGGTGAGGCGGGGAGAGAGAGAGAGAGGGTGGCTCTGTATGGGTGCTGAGGTTCCGTTTGGCGAGAGCTTGATTGATGATACTAGTAGCTGGGTATCACCAATGTCGTTTGTCGTTGTTTTTGGTGGAGCAGAAAAGGTTGTGCATATGTGCATAAGTATGTTAATGAGTTATGCATAATGGAGACGTTTGTGCACAGGCTGGGGCGATATGCAGCTAACGCTGGTCGGGTGCATAAAGTAAAGTCCGGTGTCGCTGTCAAAAAAGTTCGTGACGAACCGGGTGAATCCCGGCGCCTAAACGAGCGCAGGGGCCGCGCTTCTTCCTCTTATCTTGACTGTTTAACACCTACAACTCCGTTCATTTGTCGGACGACGACAGAAAACAGGGCAGAAGCCAGGATCTCTTGTTCATTGTCCATCGGCCATTTCTTCTTCTTTTCTTTTTCTCCCTTCAAGTCAGGAATTCTTACAGTGAGTCGCCTTTTTCCTTGATCTCCCCTCGATATTAAGCTCGACCTCCCGGCCACTCCCGACCACATCCTACGAGAAACACCAACAATTCCCCCCCCAAAAAGGAGCAGCAATTCATATCAAACGACGTCTTTCGTGTGCCCCCTCAACGAATGAGAACAAAAAAGCAAAACGAGAACTAACAACATCCTTCTTTCTTCGCATGCGCAGGCCATGGCCCCAACGAGCAACATCTTGCGCGCCGCCCGGCCCGTCTTCCGCCAGGGCAGCACCTCCACCTCTTCCTCCTTCTTCAGCAGCCAGACGCAGCAGCAGTTCTTCCGCCAGCAGTTCCGCCAGCAGGGCAAGCGGTGGCAGAGCACGGCCTCGTCCGAGCAGCAGCAGAGCGCGAGCTGGTTCAAGAAGGCGTGGGAGAGCGAGGTCGGCATCAAGACGGTGCACTTTTGGGCTCCCGTCATGAAGGTGCGTTCTTAAAACCCCCCCCCCCCCCCCCTGATTTCCTTGGGCTGGATATCACGGGTTAGGAGGTTTTTTTTAAATCAGCGAAGCGGTGAAGTGAACTGACTGACTGACATGTCGGGGTGTGGGAATATATATAGTGGGCTCTTGTCCTGGCGGGTATTTCGGATCTGGCTCGTCCGGCGGAGAAGCTGTCCTTTGCGCAGAACTTTTCGCTGACTTGCACGGGCATCATCTGGACCCGGTGGTGCTTCGTGATTACGCCCAAGAACTACCTGTGAGTTTTCCCTTCGACCCACCCGAGTCCAAACAAACAACAACCTTTCCGATCAACAGGAGGGAGAACATACCCTATCCTACACTATCAGCATTGGAATTGAGTGGATGAAGAACGACACTGACGTGGTGGTTTTATTAGGCTGGCTGCTGTCAACTTCTTCCTCGCCCTGGTCGGAATCACGCAGATCACTCGTATTGGCATGCACAACATGTCCAAGAAGGATGAGGAGGCTCCTGTTGAGGTGAAGGCTTAGGGAGGGTGACAGCAAACCCGAGGGGGGGGGGGGGGGGGGGGGGGGGGGGATATGGAAAAGGGGAGGGGGGAAGCAGAGGGGGAACGCATGATACACCTAATACATCATTTCGCCATATCATGGGGTTCTAAACCAACCAAGCTTGATGACCACAAAGTTTATGATCTGGCTTTCAGCAAACAAGCAGCAAACAAAAGCGCATATCAAGAAGAAATGGGAGGAACAAGACGGATAATCGGAGGGTACAAGATAGGGAAGGTTTGCGTATTGGCTTATTAGAGGAAGAGGACAGTAGTGCATCTCTAACCGATTCGAGACATTGACACTGAGTAAATCAATTCGCTTTCTTTTACATCGAATGGATACGTAGGCCGCCAACAAATAATAACATTTACCCATTTCCACCTGTATATCCAGCAGCAGGCTTCCATCCATATACCTCCCATCAGAATCAACTACTCATCCTCTCGATCTTCAAATACATCCAACATGCACTGTAAAAGACAATCCACGGTAAAATCAAACATGCCACACTGAAAGCAAAACACATGTCGAATGCCCTTATTTTGCGATAGTGTATCGTGGTACATAGCATATTGCACGGATAAAGTACTATGACCTTCTTTTAAGAAAAAAAAAGACATCAAGATATTCTACTACACAGATTCGGCGACACAGAAGAAGAACATCAAGCATAAAGCCATTCAAAATGACCTGTTCTTGCCAGGGAACATGCCTCTCCCTCCACACACACACAAAACGTTTTAATAAAAAAGAAAAGAAAAAAGACATCTTCCCATAGCGCCATGCAAGAAAAAGGGGGGCCAACGAAAACGAAGATGAGAGGTATCATGAATCTACTGCTCAAAACATCGGGGAGCACAATAGTGAGACGAGAAGGGGAGGAAAAAGAAGGGGAAAAAACGATAGGGAAGAGACAGGTGTAAATATGAGCGCCCCAGAACCAACATTCTACAGCCAGGCCCCCTCATCCGCACCTCGCCAACTCAATTAGTCGGTATGCCCGTCGTTAAGAAGCATCTCCAGGATGATTTGTCTTCCTGGCAGCTCCGGGTGTGACATGGCAATCTTGACCGTCCCCTTGGAGATGTCACCGGCTGTCGACAGTCCACCATTGTGCCCATACACCTGTGCCGCCTGAGCCGCGTTGTCTCCCGTCGGTCCTCGCACCCCAAAGTCAATGATGCGCACGTCGCGTCCAGCAATAATCTGCCGTAGCCGGCCGTTGTCTGCATTCCGGACCTCGACATAGTCCTCATTGTACAGGATGAGGTACTGGCCGTACATGGTTGCGCCCTTGGCCTTCTTATGCTTGCCCGTGTATTCCATGATGAGAGTCCTGCTAATCTCACCATGCTTGTCGACATACACAGCGCAGTCTTCGTACGTAAGGATGAACTCGTTCTCGTTCAGCCGGAACATGCCCAGGGGATGTTGCTGTCGAATACGATCGGCAATATTGGCAATTGCCTGCGGCTTCAGATCCGGAATGGAGATAGGCTGCTTCTTGTCGAGCGTCAACATTTCAATTCCCTTGGCTGTGGAGACGGCGACATAGGTCTGGAATAAACTCAGGCCGAAGCATTCCGTGGGGAAGAAGAACTCGTCAAAGTCGCGGAACGTCTCGGTGCTTCCAGAGGCGCCCTTGCCTCTGCCGAAGAACCGCGACTTTTTCTCCGAAGACTTCTGCAGAATGGGCTCCAGAACCTTAAACATCGTGTTCAACCCTTCCTTTCTCTTGTGGAACAGTAGCGTCCTGTCCTTCATTCTTGCCGTGGCAAAGTATGTGACATCCTTGGCCAGTCTCTGGGGAGCCCTTCTAGGGTTGTCATTGACCGGCGGAGCGTACTCGGAAACAGGGGCTATCACGTCCAACGGATACGAGATCAGCGACCTGTCAGCAATGACAACGCACACGTTGAACTCTTCCAGAACCGCGATTTGCGTAACCCTGGCGATCTGAACCGTCTATTTCCCACCATGTCAGCTTTAAAATCTCTGAGGAAATGATCAGGTATACTTACTCGGGTCCAGCCGCGTGGATTCGAAGGATCGGCAATGTAGATGCCGTAGTCTGTTCCAATCGCAATGACGGCCTTGCCAAATGCTGAAAAGGCCGTGGCGCAGTTCACCTGGGCACGGCACACGGGGGCGACACCCTGTGCGGAGCCGAGCACGTCTTCCAATTCTTGAATTGCTCGGTCAAGCGGTGTCCCCTTGACAGGAACACCGGCAGATCTAGCATGAGGAGAGCTAATGTCGTAGTGAAAGGCAGCGTCGGCAAGGACACGCAGCCTAAAAGGCTCCGCGTTCTGGGAGAAGAGGGCCTTTGCGTGCATCGTCTTCGCCTCCACAATCTTTGAGCACCACTCTGCCCGGTCTCGGGCGGACGACGCATACAGCGTGTACACCTCATAACCCAGATGCTTGATCTTGAAGGGGTAAAGAATCTTGCCTTCAACATCGCTGGACGGGGTCGGCGTGAGCGTCGTCGCCGAACCAGTCGTGGAATTCGTCGCTGTGTGCTCCAGGCCTGGTCGAGCGGTGCTGTTGGTTGCCACTTTGCTGAGCTGCGTTGTTGATCCAGCTGCCGGCCCTACGGCAGTTGTCCTAGCTAAGGGAGCCGTAATGCCCTTTTGCTTGATGACGGGTTCATCGTTCATACTCTCCAGAAACAAAAGGGGCATCGGGATAGGCTGCTACGGTCAGCATTCGCGAACGGGAGTTGCAGTGCAGCTGAAATTGATACTTACCTCTCTGGAAACATCGTACTTCTTTTCTCCGGTGTCTCTTGCAACAACCAGCTTTGCCAGAATCAGATAGTGGTCAAACAGCAGGGCGTGCGTGTCGACCCATTTGATGCCGCTTGAGCTCAGCCTCTGCAGATCACCCTGAATGATCAGGGTTCTGCCAAGATGGTCCAGGTTCAGCACAGATTGCATGCCCGGGCGTAGAATGAGCATTCGATCGAGCTCCATCATCTCCACCCTCTTGTTGGTCTCGGCGACCTTGGCATCGCATTCCAACGTGACCACTCGAATCTCCTCAATGGCTTTCTTGAGGTTTGTCATCTCCTCGCTTTCCCCCGGCATCTTGCGCTCCACCGTTTCAAGTAAGAGGATATATCGTTGGAGACGCTGCAGCGGAGTGATGAGGAAATGGGTCCAGTCTTGCTTCAGGGAAGACTTGTGCTTCTGCTTGTCCTCCAGAAACTGCTTGAACAAAATGTTTCGACTAGCTTCTTTGCGAATCATGTAGGCGGCCCGAGGATATGCGGTCGCATACTCAATGTAGTCGTTTTTGGCCTTGCGAATCCACTCTCGGAAGATGTCGCTGAAGCCGACGATCCATGGACCCTGCTCCTGCTGTCGGTACTTGAGTTGCGCCAGGAGATGGTCTTTGTTGATGCGCAAGACTGTATCGAGCTTTCCAAAGACGGCAGAGAGGAACTTGTCACGCTTCTCAGGGCGGATAATGGGCGGCTCTCTTGCGCGCAGGTCGTCTCTGTACAGCGTGCGGAAGATGTCCAGCTGCTTGATGTAGGTCTCCTCGCCGGTGACGATTTCGTGCAAGATGTTTTGGCGCTCCACCTCCTTCTTTGGCCGGGATTCGATGTCCTCCTTGGTCAACTTGTAAAAGACGTGCCAGTCGTCCGCCGGCTTCTCCGTCAAGCCCTCGAGGTCCACCTTCTTGAGGGTGCGCATGCAATGGGTGGAATAGCAACGCCCGTGGATCTCCGTCTCATGTAGCTTGGGCGCATAGCACCCTGAGCCGGTCAACTGCCACAAAACTCCCGAGATGTGGCCAGAACCGAGCTTGACCCATTCTTCGTCGGGCAGAAGGACGCCGTAACGAAGCATGTAAGCGAGCACAGTGGAGCTGAGGGCCTCGGCATCAGCGACGTTCATAGTTGGGACTTTGAAAGTGAACATGATGGTGAGTGCCTCCTCAACAATCTTTTCTCTTAGGTCGAGCTCCCCTTCAGCCATCTCACGGACCCAGGCCTCAATGCCACTGAGCGCCCAGGGCTCTGGGCATCGCCTGAAGTCGGCGGGCGTCAGCTTCGATGGGATAAACTTCTTCTTCCTACCGCCAGAGGGGAGGGTGATGCTATCGAAGCCTCCTACCGGAGGAGTCATCCCGGCCTCATATTCGGTGATTGGTAGCCCTACTGGCACCTGCTGCTGCCTGGCCAACTTCCTGCGCTCCTCAGCCGCATCAGTCCGTGACCTCGCAGGTGCTTGCACTTGCGGCGTGTGACTGTACCCAGCCAGCGACACTGATCTCTCGGGCTGATGCGAATAGGTAGAGGGTACGGTGTAAAAGGTCTCTGGACTATCGAGTTGACTCCTCGAGTCTGTGCTTCTGGTATACGTATGATAGGCGGTGCGGCCGGTGAGCTGTCCAGACGTCATGGAGCTGGTGTCGGACCCTGGGGCCGGAGGGAGAGATGGCAGCGGCCGGTTCGTCAGGCCTGGATGATAGAAGAGGTCGTCATAATCGTCCTTGGTGGGTGACTCTGCTCCGCTGCGGTGCGAGTGAATGGAGACTCTCTCGTCGCCTTCGTCAAAGCTGAGTCGCTTGGCACGAGGAGCCTGCAGGCCGCCAGTGCCCCCGTAATCCACCTCGGCGGGTCGACTTTGCCCTGGCGTTGGTAAAGGCCGTGAGGATGCTGGGGAAAAGGAAGACGCCCCGTAATGCCCAACCTCATTCCCGTATGTGAGCTGACCTGCGTAACCTCCGCTGAGACCCCCCAGGTCCATGAAACCTCCATAATCACTGTCGCTGCTCTGATCCTGTTCTTCGGGCGGTGGAGGCAGAGGGTTGGACTGCGGCGGGTGCGCAATGGTGGGCGCATCGTTATATACAAAGGTGCTTCCACTGAACCGTCTTTCCTCCAGCTCGGCTTGCTGCATCGCCAGCACGCCGGCAGCACCCTCCAGATCATCAGAGTCATCTCCTTCATCGTAGATGGCTTGAGGCGCTGCCCTGCTGGACGTCCGGTGGGCGAGCGTCAGCTGGCCGTTTGACGGGATAGGAGAGGGGAGTGGGCGAGGTTCTGTCCGGCCATCTCCCCTTCCTAGTTCAGCTTCAATCTCCTGCATAATGCTCTCTTGGTCGAAGGGCTCGCCGTCGCGGTAATCGCGATGGGGCTGGGGAAGCGGGCGGCCGTTGGCGTCCCATGGAGTTGCTTCTTCGGGCAGATCGGCCATGGGCCGACTGGGTAGAGGGGCATTGGTCGGGTGCCTGATTATCCCGGGAGATCCCAGAGGCGGCATATACGGCGAGGCCAGCGAAGAACCCTGAGAGTCTGATCGAGTAGAGCGGGTATGGTAAACACCGCCTTCGGTGGGGTACGCTGGCATATGGGAGGTCGTCGGATATGGGGTTTGCGAGTTGGAGAAAGCAGCAGGGCTCGGGCTGCCGCCGTTGGAGCCGTACGCCTGATGCTGAGCGCCGTAGCCCGGAGAGGCGTATGCCGAGGACTGCGATTGGGACCCTGACATGGCGAACGAAGATGGGCTGGTGGGCATCGTCTGCTGGTACGAGGGGGATCGTGTCGGCGAGTGGGTGGGATACGGCACACCTGGCGACTGGGGCGGGAAGGATGGCGACGGCTGCCCAGCGCCGGTGCCGTAAGGCTGATCATGGCTGTTGCTGTATCCATGGTATGAGGTGTGACGCTGCGGCGCCGTGGGAGCGTAGGCGGCGGGGTTGTACGCCTGAGGGGCGTAGTTTGTCGGCGAGGGGCTGCCGTATGCGTTGTTGGAGCCGGACGAGGACGCAGAGTATCGCGACGCCACGGACTGGTGGTGGTACGGCACGTTGGTCGACTGGGAGCGGTGGAAGTTGGACGGCTGGGCAAACGTCTGCGGGTTGTAGACTTGGTGCGTGGGCGTCGGCGGCGGCTGCTCCTGCTGGTACTGGTGAGCGTATCCGGCCATGGCCGTGCTGGCAGACGAGCCAGGCGCTGGCCGGGCGGGCGGGTAGTTGGCCGGGCTCGAGATGAAGAGGTCGTCCTCGCCGGCGCTGGCAGACGGCCGGTGCGTCGAGGCGGCGCCGTAGCGGCCCTGGGCGTGGCCGTCGTAGTAGGTGCCGTCGTCGCCAGAGTTGAAGCTCGCCTGGCGGGTCATGCCGGGCTGCTCTGCGGGCTGCTGGCCAGCGACGGGATACTGGACCGGCGGGACATGCCCGTACCGGCGGCCTTCGTCGTTTCGAAAGGACATTCTGCACAGGCGGGTGCGGGTGCGGGTGCGAGTGCGGGCGAGGGCGCGAGAGCGTTCGGCGACAGCAGGAGGCGGCGGCGACGAGGGAGAAGCGCAGCAGCTGACGCCTTTTCTTCTGAGGGGTGTGTCTTGAGACGAGCCTCACGGGTCAACGTTATCGCGACAGCGTCGGAGAGCGAGCGACGGAGGAGGCCTTGTGTCGCATTGGGCGGCATCAACAGGCACGGGGTACAGTAGAGAGGTACAGGCTCAGGCTCAGGCTCTGGCGCAGGCGCAGGCACAGGCACAGGCACAGGCACAGCAAACGGGCGGGCAGGCTGTGTGCGTGCTGGGCCAGCAGGGCTGAGTGAAGGACTGCCCTCCGTCGTCTCCGAAAGGCTGACAGGACAGCGTCGACAGGTGGAGTTTTGGGCGAAACGGCTGCTGCTGTTGTTAAGCAGTTGAGTGCCGGCTCTCTGGCTGGTGCGAAGCGCCGCTATACGAACCGCAGGAGGTTCTTCGTCGGCAAGGTAGCGGAGAGGTGAGAGATGGTATCAGGACACCTTTGGAGCTGGTCGGATACCAGCAAGTCGGAAAGGAACCCGTTCGGCGCCCGTCAGCGGGAAATCCAGCTTCGATCAAGCCTCTGAGTGAGGAGGCTTACATTGACCAAATTGGTGGTTGGAGGGACGAGGGTCTGGCCACTTTGGGGCGCCCCGTTGACGCGGCGGCGTGTGTGCGCTGGAGGTCAGTTGCCAGGCCTGGAAACCGGGGGTCTGGCCCGCCTGGGGCCACGCTGGAGAGGCGCTGGAGAGGCGCTGGTAGGGCGCTGGTAGGGCGCCACAGTGCTCTCAACTCGCTCCCATTGAGGGTCAGGGTCTTGAAACCCAAACAGGAAATGGAGATTAGCAGGTGGGCGGTGTTCCGTGGACAATATCCATAGGTACGAACAGGTAGTACCTTACCTTACCTACTAGGTATATTTATATACATGTACTCGCTCAACATCCTGTTCTCCTTCTGCGGCTGTCATGTTCTCCGGGCATTTTCTTTTAGTACAAGATGTTCAGGCTACCTCGGGACCTTAGCATCGACATGTCAAAAGTCCCTTGAAAATACCTAAAAGATGCCATGGATGCAAAGCCCCAAACCACCCCACGGCGCAGCTCCTCCTCCTGCGTCCGCGAGGCGTCCGGTAATCGCACATCTACGGATCGACTAAAATTAATCATCGCTTACTGGCAACCTTGGCATCGTGCAAAGACGGGCATCTTCCGTGATTGGAAAAGGCAAACACGGGTTTTCAGCAAGAAAGCAAATGTGGAGGGCTATTTCTTTCTCCAAGACAACGGAGGGTCTAATACGAGGGCTGCCTCTCTGGGGCGTCGGATCGCCGAGCCAAAGTCAATGTATTACTAGACGACTATCTTGAACGTTGCCTCTCGAAGTCCCCGGAGTCGTGGAAAGACTCAATTGGGTGCGTTTGCTATTGGTACTTACCTGGTACTGTATCTCTCCGTACCTTGTCGTGGAGCGCGAGGCTTCGAGTACTTCGTATATACGAGGCAGTAAAGGCTCGAAAGGGGCTGTTGATGACGATCAGCACTGCCGCCGCTTGTACATGAGCTGCGGATATCGAAGGCGTCGTACCGAGCAGTACAGTGCGTATATCACCAGTCTCTTTTGTTTCTGATGACAATAGAGTGTTGAGTTGAGGCCCTTTTCATGGCTAGAATGGATGAGACGCCAAGATGCCTCTGTGTGCGTGCTCGCCCATTTACGCCGAGTCCATGCGCCGAAAAGGACCAATGCCTCTTGGCATCGACAGCAAATGGACTCTATCCCTTCTCTAATTTGCTGAGAATGGCGTTCGAAACTTGGTTGAAACGACAACACGCCATCAGGGGGGGCGAGGCCTACTACTAGTCAATGGGAGGCTGCTGCCCAAGCGATACGAGATTTGAGTTGCCTCCCCTGGAGGACGACAGGACCAATGCCAAGACCAACAAGAGTATCTGGCAGCTGAATTAGAGTAAAGGCCAGTGCTCGTGGTTCTACCCATTAAGAATGAAGTTTCCGGCCTGATTACCCCACGGACAATGCTTCCACACAATGGCAAGGCATTACTTGTATCGTGAGCCCCTGCTCTGCTCTTGGCAGGGCATTCAGCGTCTTACACAAGGGTCGAGCCTGGAGGTCTATAGCAGACTTACTTTCAGCTTGCCTAGAAAACGCCACGCATAACAATAATGTCGCCCATCAGCTCTCTTGTCTCTTATTTTACGTTAATCATGAGTCTGTTTGTTCCCGACTGACATCGTCACTCGTGCTGTAACTTCACCGAGACCCACCCGGAGCGCTCCGTGCCGCGGTCCCCCAAAGTATCGGGTTGCGTCTGCTTCTAATGTATATATACGCCGAAGAGAAAAGAGTGTCTGAATTCTCATTTGCATCCTTTTCGTGGTTGTGTATTCTGAGCTCGCTCTGAAATTGATCGGCTCGAGGCAGCGCAGGCTGATCTCAGCTTACCCACCGCAGGATGAGGAGAAACACGATGCTATTCCGGGACCTCTAGAGGTATGCCATCCGGATCGAGGTACATCACCATATCGGATAAAGATAGATCACGCTTCGGAATGAACAAACAGCCTATAGCTCAGAGTCAATAGCTGGCTGTCGCTGCCTCTTACATTTCACTTTTCACACTACATGGCTCATCTGAAGTCCTGCATGGTAGAAAGCTGCGTGACTACCTACATATCTACCTATATCAGAACGAGAAAGGTCGTGCCCTTATTCGCCCAAAGGCACCACGCCATTGTTAGTTTGTCTTGCGTACTGCATTCTCCATGCATGACCACGAAGGCTTCCGTGCCATGTTGTACCTCCCGTTGTCTTGGACGTCAATTAGAGACATGCAGCTCCCCCCTCACCGATTGCCACGTCAAGTGCCACGAGGCTTGGGGTTTCGGACGACTTCCCATCTTTAATCATTTTGGCTTCATACATCACCCATGTTGTCCCCTATACCCCTCTTCTCATCATGCCATCTCTCCCAAAAGATTCTAATTCCGATCGAGGTTCATTGCAAGCCTTAGTCTCTATCTTTCTGAAGGTTGCAAGACAAATTACAAGCTTGCGTCGTTGTGGTTACGCCTTGACACATCACCTCTCTTCATTCAGTGGTAACCACGTAGGACGTAATGGCTGTTGCACAATTACTCTTAGACAACCCTCTCGTTCTCTACACCATCCTCATCCTGCTTCTCTCAGTTGCCGTGACGCATTATCGAGGGAGATCACAGCATGGCTCTTTGCCTCCAGGACCTCCTGGGGAGCCAATCCTGGGCCACCTGCGCATCATCCCCACCGACAACCCAGAGTACTACTACATGCGAGCATCTCGAGAATACCGGTCCGATATACTGTCGTTCAACGTTCTAGGCCAATCCGTCATCGTCCTCAATTCCGTCCAGGCAGCTACCGACCTCCTCGACAAGCGCGGAGCCAATTACTGTGACCGCCCCCGATTCGTCTTATTCGAGGTCATGGGATGGCACAAGACGCTCACTTTTCTACGATGGGGCTCTTCGTTGAGATTGCACCGCCGGATACTGCAAAAGAACTTTCAGAAAAGCAACATTGGCAGGTACCGCTACTTGCAGGAACGAGAAGCGGTGGTGCTACTCAGGGGAATCATGGACAGGCCAGCTGCGTGGGAAACAGTCCTTCGGCGCTTCTCCACGGCTGTCGCTCTGGGCGTGGGCTTTGGCATCAAGATCGAGACGGATGACGACCCCCTCGTCCAAGTTGCTGCGGATGCGAGCTATGCGCTGGGACACGGAGGAGCTCCGGCCGGGACGCCAGTTGACTTCTTTCCATTGATGAGGTTCCTCCCCGGCTTTCTGCATGATCGATCCCTCAGATTTGCCAATCAATGGAGGTTTGCCATTGTCAGCCTGCGCAACAAGCCCTACGAAGCAATCATGGCGTCCAAAGCCCGAGTGCAATCGCTTGTGCAGGATATGCTCGACCAGCAGCGAAGCCAAGCCAAGCAAGGCCAAGCCCCTGAGATCACCGAGGAGGACATCAAGGGTGCCGGAGCGGCGGTGTTTGCAGCTGGTCAAGATACCACCTGGAGCACATTGGTCGTCTTCATACTCAACATGGTGCTGCATCCCGAAGTCCAGAGCAAAGCCCAGCGCGAGTTGGACCAAGTGGTAGGGCGAGATCGATTACCTACCTTTGACGACAGGCCCAACCTGCGATACATTGACTTCATTGTCCAAGAAACACTTCGATGGTGTCCTGTGAGCCCGATGGGAGTTCCCCATCGTTCGTTGAAAGACGACGTTTATGGCGACTTCTTCATACCTGCGGGCTCATTCGTATATGCCAATGCTCGTGCCATGACCCACGACGAAACGGTCTATCAGAACCCCGATGATTTCGACCCTGATCGCTATGTTCCACTGGAGGAGGGTGGCCGAGGAGAGCCACTCCCAAGAGGGCAATTTGGCTTTGGCAGAAGGATATGCATCGGGAAGCACTTTGCAGAGGCCACTGTTTGGATTGTGGTTGCCGTGATGTTGAGCACCATGCGCATCGAGAGGGAAAAGGATGCGGACGGAACAGAAATCCTGCCAGTGGTTGAGTTGACGAATGGCCTGACTAGTCATCCCAAGAGCTTTCCTTGCCGGATACGGGCCCGGGATGAGAAGAGCGCTGCCGTCATTCGGGACAAGCAGCTAGTATCGTCGTCATGAGTACGAGTTCGAGAAGGAGCAGTTCCGCTGCCGATGGCCTCGAGCAAAGCAGCCCTCATTGAAAACATGGCCGCGATTCTTGGATCCAGGCTGTGACACATCCAAAGCAACACACCAAGCGACGTTTGAGTACCCAGTGCTTGTTGGTGATCGAACGTGCCAAGTGACGAGTACGAAGCTGTAGAACCTTCAGAGTCGTTCCACGGCAGGGATGTTGATGCCCCTCACCCGCCAATCACGACAAGAGGAGGGGCTGATATTGACACGACAGATTGGCCACGGCCGAGCTCTTCCGCAGGTTTCTTGCCGTCTTTGGAGCGCCGTTCGCTGATGGTTTCCTGAATCGGATCGCCGTCCAAAGTTCAAAAGAGTGCTGCGGAATCGGTCTCCATTTGTCAGCCATCCATCAGCTTTGAAGCTGCCGGTTCTGGAGTGACACTTGAGTTTGTGCTGCAAGTCAGAATGACGCCAGTGACGCAGCGGGGCAAAGACGGAGCTTGGTGTAGGTTCTTGGTAGAGCTTCCGACAAGCTCCAGCGAAGGGCTCCCCCTCACTCCCCCAGCAAAAGCAACATGGACGCCCTCCCAAATTGTTAGCAGAAGCACGCAATGGCAGTAGCAGCAGTAGCATCAGAGTGTTCGGGCCATGTACCGGTCGCGATAGAAGAACGCTGGAAGAGGTGCCTCGGGCTCGGAACAGCCCCCACACGCTGCGACGAGCTGCTTTCGTAACTCCGGAGCCAAAAGCTGCCCTTTCGCTGGTCCGTTCCTCTTCAAAACTCTGTCCTCTCCACCTCTCCATCATCGTCATCAGTAGCCCGTTGCAACAATCGAAGCAATTGTAAACACAACCGCCAAAATGGTCAAAGCTGGTAAGACGCCTCCAGAGCCCAACACACACTACCGTCGCCCGGTTGCCAGAGACAGCGCCCTCCCCGGCTTTATACGTTCCATATCTCCATTTATAGATATGAGTAGCCGTCGCTAGTCGAGAGGGGGGGGGCATGCTGTGCTCATCCCTGAGCTCGTTTGAGGGGGTTTTTGTGCTCAGCCGGCGTCGTTGGAGAACGGGCCGCGCCGCAACCTTGATGGGCACAGCACACGAGAGTCCCTTGATGGCCTGGGCCTGGGGCTGTTTGCGCCGTCGCTGTCACCGTCACTGTCACAAGCAGCTGCATTGCATCTGGCTAACTCCGTGCTGCAGTCAGCGTTCTTCGAGGAGACTCCAAGGTCTCCGGCACCGTCGTCTTCGAGCAGGCTTCGGAGGGTGCCCCTACCACCATCACCTACGACATCACCGGCAACGACCCCAACGCGAAGCGTGGTTTCCACATCCACACCTTTGGTGACAACACCAACGGCTGCACCTCTGCCGGCCCTCACTGTAAGTCGCCTTCCAGAGCCCGGGAGTGCACCGGTCTCTCCATGGACCGCAGTTTGATCGTCAGGTTTTGCTGACTCGCCAACCAACCAATAGTCAACCCCTTCGGCAAGAACCACGGTGCTCCCACCGATGAGGTCCGCCACGTTGGCGATCTCGGCAACGTCGACACTGATGCTCAGGGCAACGCCAAGGGCACCATTACCGACAACCTGATCCAGCTGATCGGCCCCAACAGCGTCATTGGCGTAAGAAGCATCCTTTCAACCAATCTCGGTGGAATAAACATGCTAACGATGCATTGTGTAGCGCACCGTGGTCATTCACGCCGGCACCGACGACCTTGGCAAGGGCGACACCGAGGAGTCTCTCAAGACTGGCAACGCTGGCCCTCGTCCTGCCTGCGGTATGTGGCCCACTGATACCTCCTTGTGATCACTAAAGTACTAACATTGTCTTTCCAGGTGTCATTGGCATCTCCAACTAAGCTTGTCAAGATCCTGTAGCTACCGCATGCTCTACCAAAGCTTGTTGCAGATTGAACCAAATCCATTGAGCGACTGAGTACTTGTAGTTTGCCTCAACTTTGGTTAGCAGGTGTACGATACAGATAAAACAAAATAAAAAACCCATCTTCCAAGCAAAAGACTTGTCTCTTCACAGAGCGTTCAGACCTCTATCAGAGCTCGTGATTTAAGGTACTTTGGGCGAATGTGAACGACAGCCATCCATGGAGGGGTAATGCGAACAAGCGCCATTACATCACCAGACGCCTTGCTCGGGTTCTTGCTTCTAGTGTAGTCCGCCGGCTGCTTCCGTGGTTCAGCGCTGCCCGGAGCATTTAATCTAGATTCTGAGGCATTATGCTGTGTAACCTGTGCGAGTTTCAGATCAGGTAGGCAAATTGTAGCTGAAGGTATATCAGGTCACCAAATCCTGATTTTGCTGGTTGCCCTCCCCAAAAAGCCAACTTCCTGCTACCCATGAGCTACCCAACATTGAAGTCTCGACCCCGCGCCTCCAGCTCCCCGTCGCTTATTATTAGTCGCGCCGACTTCAGGGCCTCTCCAGCATTGCCAGCGCTGCCAATCCGCCACCAGGCAGCCTCAAAAAGTCCCCTGAACTCGTGCTGCGACCCCACAATGAAGCCACCCGGAACAATGCAAAGCTGTTGAGCTAACCCGCACTACCTGCGTGTTGGCTGGCGGCCTGACTCAACGAGCAGGTACTCCGTACTAGAGAGCCTCGGGACTTGACACCTTGCCTCAAAGGCACACGACAACTTGAAGTTGCCTCCTCCTTCATCAACGCTGCAGTCTGCTTCTCTGTTGCTCAATTCATCCTTCCAAACTTCATTTTGGCTCGGTAAATTCCCAGATATCTTGCCATTTCTTTCTCCGTCTCCCGCTCAGGTATGTATCAACCCCGCGGTGCTCCAGAGATCGCCACCTTGCTGTCCTCTCCATGTGTCCCTCTTGCTCCCCACGGCAGTGACAACTACGAAGTCATTCCGTGTCTTTCAGATGTCACAGAGGTGGTTTAGATGCAGTGCCATCCATGAACACTTTGAATCTTTCCACATTCGTGGCAATTGACGTCTCAATCCGTCGTCCATACTTCACAACATCTACCTCCTTGCAACAATATCTCGGCAACAATTACAAAGCACTCCTCCCAAAGGCAGCCTTCTTGCTAACTTGAAGCGATTCAAATAGGTCTCCCCCTTGTCTCCTCCCTCCCGGCCCATCATGTCCAAGACCTTCTTCGGCAATGTCAAGAGTGTCTTGAGCGGCGACACTCTGGTCCTCACCAGCGCCAACAATCCCGCGGCCGAACGCACATTTTCCCTTGCCTACGTTTCGGCCCCTCACCTCAAGCGAGAGGGAGACGAGCCATTTGCCTTCCAATCCCGCGAATACCTTCGAAATCTCGTGGTGGGCAAGCCCGTTCAATGCACAGTCCTCTATACCATTCCCACGACCGGCAGGGAGTTTGGCACTGCTCAGCTCAAGGACGGAACTCTCCTGCCCGATGAGCTTGTCAAGGCCGGTTGGGTCAAGGTCCGTGAGGACGCTGGCCGCAAGGAAGAGTCGGAGGAGCTTCTCGATAGGCTAGAGAAGCTTCGTGCTCTGGAATCCGAGGCCAAGGGCGCCTCCAAGGGGCTCTGGTCGGGCACCGACGGCACCATCGAGGTACAGAATGACCTGGGTGGCCCCGAGTTCCTGACGCAGTGGAAGGGCAAGACCGTGGATGGCATCGTCGAGAGGGTGTTGAGCGGTGATCGTCTGTTGGTCCGACTGCTGCTGTCCGATAAGAAACACGTTCAGCCCCTGACCCTCCTTGCCGGTATCCGGACTCCGTCCACCGAGCGCACGCTTCCTTCCACGGGTGCTACGCAGCCTGCCGAGGAATACGGAAACGAGGCCAAAGCGTTCGTTGAGTCAAGACTGCTTCAGCGACAGGTCAAGGTCGAGATTGTCGGCGCCAGCGCCCAGGGACAGCTCATTGCCAGCGTCATCCACCCCCGAGGCAACATTGCCGAGTTCCTGCTTCAAGAGGGACTGGCCAGGTGTAACGACTTCCACTCCACTATGCTTGGAGAGAAGATGGCACCTCTGAGAGCCGCCGAGAAGCAGGCTCAGGCCAAGAAGCTCCGCCTACACAGGCATCACGTGGCCAAGGCAGACGCTGGAACCAACGAGATGGTTGTCACCAAGATCATTGGCGCTGATACGATCATGGTCAAGGGCAAGAACGACAACACGGAGAAGAGGATCAGCTTCAGCAGCATCCGAGGGCCTCGCACCAACGAGCCCTCGGAGAGCCCCTTCAGAGACGAGGCCAAGGAGTTTGTGAGATCAAGGCTCATCGGCAAGCACGTCAAGGTGAGCGTCGACGGAACCAAGCCCGCTTCCGAGGGCTTCGAGGCCAGGGATGTGGCCACCGTCACCGAGAAGGGAAAGAACATTGGTCTTGCGCTGGTGGAAGCCGGACTGGCCTCTGTCATTCGACACCGGAAAGATGATACCGACAGGGCGCCCAACTATGATGAGCTGCTTGCGGCTCAGGAGAAGGCCAAGGAGGAGAAGAAGGGCATGTGGTCCGGCAAGCCCCAAAAGGCCAAGCAGTACCTGGACCTCTCAGAAAACACACAAAAGGCAAAGATTATGCTCGCCACGCTGCAGCGACAGAAGAAGGTGCCTGCCATTGTCGACTTCTGCAAGGCCGGCTCTCGATTCACCATTCTCATCCCGCGCGAGAACGTCAAGCTGACGTTGGTTCTGGGCGGCATCCGCGCCCCCAGGGCCCCTCGCGCCGATGGACAAGGCGGCGAGCCGTTTGGCAAGGAGGCCCTCGACCTGGCCAACCGACGATGCAACCAGCGAGACTGCGAGGTGGACATCCACGACATGGACAAGGTCGGCGGCTTCATTGGCAGTCTGTACATTGGCCGCGAGAACTTTGCCAAGGTGCTGGTCGAGGAGGGCCTGGCTTCGGTGCACGCCTACTCTGCCGAAAAGTCGGGTAACGCTGCCGAGCTGTTCGCGGCGGAGAAGAGGGCAAAGGAGGCCAGAAAGGGCATGTGGCATGACTACGATCCTTCGCAGGAGGAGAACGCCGAGGAGGAGTCTGGCGAGGCCGACGCGCCCGAGGCCGAAGTCACACTGGACAAGAAGCCCGCCGATTACCGAGACGTCATCATCACCAGCATTGACGGCAACGGCAAGCTCAAGATCCAGGAGATTGGAAAGGGCACGGCCGCGCTGGAGTCCCTGATGAGCGACTTCCGCAAGTTCCACATCGATTCCAAGAACAACAAGCCCCTGGCGGAGGCTCCCAAGACTGGCGAGTTTGTGTCTGCCAAGTTCTCGGCCGACGACCAATGGTACCGTGCGCGAGTCCGGGCCAACGACCGCACAGCCAAGATGTCCGAGGTCATCTACGTCGACTACGGCAACACGGAGAAGGTGCCCTGGTCCAGCCTGCGATCCCTAGACCAGTCTCAGTTTGGTGTGCAGAGGCTCAAGGCCCAAGCCATTGACGCATCGCTGTCGTTTGTCCAGCTGCCCACGGGCGCCCATTACTTTAGCGAGGCCATTGCCTTTATCGCTGATCTGACCGAGGGCAGGCGGCTGGTTGGCAACTTTGACTATGTCGATAGCAAGGAGAACGTCAGCTACATCACGCTGTACGACACCAAGGCGGACGGCTCTCTGCCCGGACCCAACGACTCCATTAACAAGGAGATTGTGGCGAGCGGATACGGCATGGTGCCCAAGAAGCTCAAGTCATGGGAGCGCAGCAAGGCTTTTGAATCATACCTGAAGCACTTGAGAGAGGTTGAGAGCCAGGCGAAGCAGGACAGGCTGGGCATGTGGGAGTATGGTGACATTACTGAGGACTAAGAGGCGAATGTCATGGCTTGTTCATTCTTGTTTGAAAGGAGGTTTGTAAGGAAAGGGGAAAATATCTTTCATAGTTTATTCGGCATCAAGCGAAAAATGGCATTTCGATGGTGATTTTCTGGGCAAAAGATGGAGTTGAAATCTATGTTCAATTCTTGTTGGTCTTTGGCATTGAAGTGATGGGGAAGAGAAACGACTGTGGTGTGTAATAGTCGAAGTGTCGAAAGCATCGGAAGAAGCCGATATGGACACTACACCAAGAAGCGACCCCGTGATGTCAGCCTCTACTAGTAAGTATGTGCATGCAGGCGAATCATGAGCAAGGCTGCTATGATGCAACATGCCGACTGTTTCCGCATCACAACCCCTGACGAGGCAATTGAGGGTCACCTTTGCTTGGGATAATACGGAAATAGCACAAGAAACGAAGACACAGTAGGTATTAAGAGGACCATTTGGTATTGTTGCCTAGGTATGTAGGTACCTAATCAAAGGCCGGCTGCAAATAATAACGATCTCGACCCGAATGTGTTACAAATGGCCGGGCGAGAGGCCGGATCTTCTAGAAGTACGGACACGGTAGTCCGACTCCGAGCGAAGCGGATGGATGTGATGCGATGCTGCTTGCGCTGATCGGACTGATGACATAACATTGATGGGGGATTTGGAGAGGGCTCTCTCAGCCAGTCAAAAGGTTCCCTCAAAGTTCCTGCCGACCCGGCCTTTTTCGGTGGAGTCGGAGGAGAGAAGAGGTGAAATGATGTTTAAATAAGTGGCACGTTTTCGAGGAGTGGCCACCGATGCGTCGGATGTTGGTATAAGGTACTTGTACCTGTACGGTATTACTAGGTAGGTACCTGGAAAGGTAGAATCAGTTTTGGCTGGTGGGTTGATTCAAATTATTATGCGAGGGTGACAAACCAAGGGGCGAACAAAACAAAGACACAGGAGAGTTTGGTTCAAGGCATGGCCATGCTGGGAACTTTGGGAACTTCCTAGGCTTAATAACCCCCCTCCAACAAAGCCTTGCTTGCTCTTTGCCTAGGTATTACCTACCTAGGTTGCCTACCTACCTAGTAGTAGCTTATGGAATGGCCTCACCCTCAACAAGCGGCCGGTGGGCCGGCATGACTTAACTGGCCCCGCTCTTTCGTGGGCAACGGAAGGGGGGCGAAACAGTTGATGAGCTGGTGATGGATGCCTTTTTGCTGCGTTTGCCTGTACTGTCCTGAGCTAGTAGTACCTGCAACAAGAGGTGGTGCGTGTGTGTGTGTGTGTGTATGTGTGTGTCCGTAATACTGGAGTAGGCAAGGCAGGTAGACAGTACTGTAGGCGTAGGTGGTACATGCATGGCATGACGTTAGGTAGGTACCTTATATATCATCTCTGGCTTCCCCGGCGCTTCTTTTGTTTCTACCCTCATTCTTCTTTCTCTTCTCCATAATACCCTGCTCTTTGCAACACCACGCTCTCTTCTCTCACGATACAGAGAAGGCAAATAAAAACACAACCTTTATTCTACACCTGTTCTCAATTAGTCAATATTCTCTCCTCGCACATTCACAATGAGCTCCTCTCTTGACCAGCTCAAGGCCACTGGCACCGTACGTTCCCTCACTTTTCCCCCCTCTCCCCCCTCTCTGACTCTGCCCTCTGCCGCTGTCTCTTCCTCCGTCTACCCCGCCAAAGCATTGCGCAACAGCAACGACGTTATGGTTTTACCCCTCCAACAAAGGGGAACCAGAGGGGGGGCAAAATGTGACGCCCGGCTTCTGTGCTGCGCTGCGGTGAGGCGCGGAGGAATGGCATCGGCAATTGCGCAATTGGCTCTTGCTTGATCGATGAGGATTGTAAGGATTCGAGAGTGCTGACAATTGGATTCTGTTTCCGTGTTGAAACAGGTTGTCGTCTCTGACACTGGTAATTCCCGCACCATCCGCCCTCATGTCTCCTGATGCTTGGAGCTTGGCTAACTCTTTTTTTTTTTTTTTTGCTTTGCGATAGGTGACTTTGCTGGTTAGTCTCTCTCAACCTCCCTCGCTCCTGTGCAGTTCTCTCTGCTGTTTCTTCTCCTTCAAGGAGAACCCGAAGCTGGCTTCGACTACGAGACACGCCAGCAGCAACAGCAGCAGCAGCAGCAGCAGCTCCAGCTCTCGTCTCTGCCTGATTCGATTTCCGATGCAAACAGAACAGCTGACATGGACAAAACCGCGCAGCCATCGCCAAGTACAAGCCCCAGGATGCCACCACCAACCCCTCCCTCATCCTGGCCGCCTCCAAGAAGCCCGAGTACGCCAAGCTGATAGACGTCGCCATCGACTACGCCAAGCAGAAGGGCGGCGACATTGAGCAGCAGGTCGACGATGCCCTCGACCGCCTGCTGGTCGAGTTCGGCAAGGAGATTCTCAAGATTGTTCCCGGCAAGGTCTCCACCGAGGTCGACGCCCGGTTCTCCTTTGACACCAAGGCCTCTGTCGACAAGGCCCTCCACATTATCGAGGTAAGGCAATTGGACCATGAAGCATCATCAAAAAAACTGGCCGAGAAGAATGGAAAGCTAATCATCATCATCGCCCAATACACAGCTCTACAAGGAGCTCGGCATCCCCAAGGAGCGCGTCCTCATCAAGATCGCCTCCACCTGGGAGGGCATCAAGGCCGCCGAGATCCTGCAGCGCGACCACGGCATCAACTGCAACCTGACGCTCATGTTCTCCCTGCCCCAGGCCATCGGCGCCGCCGAGGCCGGCGCCTTCCTCATCTCCCCCTTCGTTGGCCGCATCCTCGACTGGTTCAAGGCGAGCACCAAGAAGGACTACTCCAAGGAGGAGGACCCCGGTGTCGCCTCCGTCAAGAGCATCTTCAACTACTACAAGAAGTTTGGCTACAAGACCATTGTCATGGGTGCCTCGTTCCGCAACACGGGCGAGATTACCGAGCTCGCTGGCTGCGACTACCTGACCATTTCTGTAAGAAACCGCCCCCCCTTCCTTTCATTTCTTCTTTCTGTCCAACCCTGAAATCCAGGGGTTTTTTTTTTTTTTTTTTTTTCTCAAAGTCTACTTGTTTGCTGACATGTGATGTGTGAACCACACAGCCCAACCTGCTCGAGGAGCTCCTCAACTCCACCGAGCCCGTCCCCAAGAAGCTCGACGCCGCCGCCGCTGCCTCCCTTAACATTGAGAAGAAGTCGTACATCAACGACGAGTCCCTGTTCCGCTTCGACTTCAACGAGGACCAGATGGCCGTCGAGAAGCTGCGCGAGGGCATCAGCAAGTTTGCCGCCGACGCCGTCACCCTCAAGGACATTCTGAGGCAGAAGCTGTCTGCTTAAGCTAAGCAATTCTCAAGGAGTGTAAATTGGTGTCAAGGAGAGGAGGGGGGCAGTAAGTTGTGGAGGACTGCCTGAACGCTCTGAATGGCAGTCTTCCAAAACAGATTGGAGAGATTCGTGTTTGGCTGCGGCTGTTTGAATGAAAACTAGATTGAGATTGGACCCGTGGCTTGTGCGTATCTACGTCGAAAAAGCACTAATAAAAATCAGTAAAATGGGAATGAATGTGCTGCCAATGGAGCATGTGTCTTGTGCTTGATTTATCATGGTCCCGTCGTGTCGTATTCACGATGTAGCTGTACAGGCTATATAAGACCTTTCCTTGCGATATCCAAACCCTGTAGAACATGATCTCCATATTGACTCATATCGTACAGCCAGTCCTCGTGAATCAAACAATGTAAAGAAATGAAGGAATCAACGCCGTCAGTGCTGTTCATGTAGAGAAATCCGAGGTATTATATATATATCCATCCAGCAAGTATATCCCAAATCAACAACAGCCAAACAATCATCTCTATTCGCCACGACTTGACAAATCCCCAAGTCCGCTCAAACCAAAAGCCAGATTAAACCATGACCAAAAAAAAAAAAAAGAAAAAGATATACCTCCTCCTCATTCACACAATGCCCACCGCCGCATCTCCCAAAAACATCAAGCAGCATCCTTGCACTGGACCTGCATCACAGTATGCGTCCACTCGCCCTTGCCGCCGTCGCCCTCCTTGGCCTGCACCACGAGCGCCGTCAAGGCATTGCCCTTGACGCAGCCCGAGTCGAGGCCAAAGGTGTAGCGCTCCTCGCGCAGGCCGCGCTTCGAGTCGTGCCCGTAGACGACGGTGTAGCGGTGCGACTTTTTGAGTCTCTTCTGGAAGCGGTTCCACGCGCTGGTCCACTTCTCGCCGTCGCGGCTCTCGACGGGGATGGCGACTTGGCGGTCCGCGTAGGCGTCTTTTTGCTGGATCGATTCGAGCGTTTCGCCTTCTTCTTCTTCTTCTTCTTCTTCTTTTGGCGCGCTGGCTGATGACTGGTCGCTAGAAGGAGGGGGAGGTGATGATGATGATGATGATGCTGCTACTTCAGGAGAGGCTTGGTCCGCATCGCGCTTCGCCTTGCTCTTCTTCTGCTTCTTCTTGCCCCCTTCCTCCTTCTTGCGCATCTCCTCGCGGGGATACACGAGCGTGCGCATGTTCATGACGGCCCAGGGATCCTGCAGCTCGGGTCGCACGCCCGGCACGAGCCCCGCGTGTGCGACGAGGATGCGCAGCGGCTCGACGGCCAGGATGACGGGCAGCCTGCGCAGCCACTCGACGTGCTCCGTGGCGAGCCGGCGGCCGGTGGCCAGGAGCTCGGCCTCGCCGCGGTGCGCCTCGGCGTCGGGCGACGCGAGCTCCTTGCTGACGCCCGTCTGGGCCTCTGCCTCGGCGAGGGCGAGCAGGACGCGGTCCTCGTGGTTGCCGCGCACGGCGCTGGCGTTGAGGCGCATGAGGCGCGAGACGACGCCCGGCGAGTCGGGCCCCTTGTTGATCATGTCGCCGGCGGCGATGAGGTGGTCGCGCGAGGGGTCAAAGTCGACTTTGCGCAGCAGCGCCTCGAGCGCGGCGTCCATGCCGTGGATGTCGCCGACGATGACGAGCCGGCGCTTGTTCGAGGGCGTGGGGACCAGCGAGTCGGGCAGCGTGGCCAGCAGCGTCAGGCCGTCCATGTTGGGGCGCGGAAAGGTGCCGTATGTCATGGGCAGGTCGGCGTCGGTGAGCTGGACGTGGATGTCCTTGGGCGGCGGGTTCGGGTGCAGCTGCTGCGTGCTGCTGGTGCTGCTGGTGCCGGTCATGTAGAGGCGTGTGACGCAGAGGTAGATGCTGGCGATGAGGAAGAAGAGGGCGGCGGCCACGATGCCTCGGCGATGTGGTTGGTGGGCCATTCTTGGGGGGGTTTGTGGCGAGAGGCGCTGTGGCCGATGACGTTGTTTCTTTTTTCTGTTGTTGATGGGGATGATGTTGGTGGTGATGGTGGTGATGGGCTGATCTACGGGGTGATTGAAGTCATTGAAATGGAGAGAGAGAGAGAGAGAGAGAGAGAGGAAGAATTGGGAGAGAGGGAGGGTAGTGAATGGTGGATGAGGACAGGGCAGGAGAAGAAAGGAACAGAAGGACGGCAAATTCTTGAAACGGCAAAAATGGAATGGAATCCAATGAGCTTTGACTTGACGGTGCGGTCCTCAAGGAAGCTCTGGTGGTTTAAGGGGGGGGGGGATAAGGAACCCTTTTTCCCTTTTTTTAGCCTCTTTTCCTCTGCAGCCGGCTGTTTCTAGGGTTTTTCCATCTGCTAGCACGCGTATCGTCTGTACTTGTTGCAGTTACCAAGACATATTATTGTTAGGTATGGCATTCAAGACCCTTGGTCTGAGAGCGACGAGTATCTTTTCTAGTTTGGACGTTTTCATTCTGGGGCGGGATTTTGATGACGACAGCAAGCTCACTGCCAAGGCGCTTAGAATTCTGGAGCTGCATGTTTTGCGTTTTGAGAATCAAAGTACCCGGAGATGCTGGACTGAGTACAGATACATGCTATTACTGGTGGTGAAGGGCATTTTTACGACATGCAGTGGGTACTGTATACTTGACTTGCTGCCATTGTGGGGACTGCGGTACATGTCCGTGCAAGCCGTTTTGGTTGATCGATTTGCGATTGATTGGATCGACTGATTGATGTTCACTGACAATCAATCTGGGGAAATCGTCACGAGACAATATGAAGGACACTTGCTACGATTTATTTGAGTGTAGAGAAGAGTTTCATTATCATAAAATTGGTGTTTTTCACGGGCAATCCACCTAGCTACCTATACAGAAAATGTACAGAGATTGAAGCAGCAGCTCATGTCAGGAAAACGGACACTCGATACCGGCAAACCGGCAACGGAAAAACGGGAGACGGCGGCTAGGAATGCCGATCCGATGCGAGGCGTTACGTGGATTTGGGGCGTCTGCGTCCGGAGGACTGTCAGGGAGGTATTAAGGGATGACTTTTTGACAGGGCAATTATCAACTTGCTTTATGGTTATTAGATATATTATATATAGATATATATATCCATAGATGATGCTTGTCTTGGAACTTGAAATGCTCTTCGAGTGAAACTCGTCTGTTTGCGCGTGCCAAAGACTTGTCACAAGGTGCTGTATAGACTGGCGGGTTGCAGCTACAAGCTCCTGATGCTTTGCAGCAGGTCACGGGGGACTACCTAGGTACTGTCTTCAGTCCATTGCACCGGATGTTATAAGGTGCTAGATAGGTATGTATCTCGTCCAGGTATGTATCTCGTCCAGGTCTGTACAGAAAGGTCATGGGATATATAATTGTCCGTGTGCAGAGCGGCGAGATGCCTCCTTATATAGTACAGTCTATAGCTACCTACCTTCTCGTTGATGCCGCATACCATATGCGCCATGCTCTCCCCGAGGAAGATGGGCCATTCCCTTCTCTCTATAGTATATCCAAGTATCAAGTTCATCCATTTGGAATTTCCAGCCATCTCGCGGGTATCAAACCAGCCAGATGAAATGTTTTCCCTCTCTTACTCCAAATCAACGCCATAAACGCCATACCCATGCTCCGCAGTTCGCTCATATGTCTCCTTATTTCTTCTTGCATCCCTGTTCTCCTCATCCCAGCCCTCAAACCCTCACTTCCCGCCCGAGGCCAGCCTCTGCTGCTCCAGCCGGTACTTTTCATTCTCCACCTCCCTCCAGTCCTGCGGAATCGGCTCGTTGCCGTCCGTCTCCTTGACGCCGCCGCCAAACGCAGACTTGCCCGCGTACAGCTGGTACCCTTTGCCTTGCTCCGACGCCTCCATCGACCGGTACGTCACGGGCATGTTGCCGCGGAAGCGCTTCCGCATGTCGACCAGGCCGCGCTTGCACTCGCCGTAGCCCTTCTTGAGCTGCTGGCACTTTGTCGGGAGGGTCGCGGAGAGGGGCTCGCGGAGGCAGTCGGAGGCCTTGTTGCGGTGGACCATGACGCAGTCTGATTCCTGGAGGCATTGCGCGAGGGCGTCGCCTGTTTTGGTGGCTTGTCAGCGGGATCTCTGATATATATTTTTGCCGTGGGGGTTTTGAAAGTGACGCTGGATAGAGGTTTGAGGGGAGCTGGGGCATACGTAGTTCTTGACACGAGTTTGGCATCTTGGGTAGAAATGGGCGGTTTGACTGCCTGTGTGAGTTGGTGGATGATGCTGGGACGTGAGTCTCTCAGAGGATCTGCGAGGCTGCGATTCTTTGGGAAAAGTCGTCTGATGATGAGCTTGAGAAGGCTGTTTGATGGATGGACTGTGATTGGTGGGCTGAGGATTGGAGCTAAGGATCGAATTGACTTGACGCTGCCCCACCGCTTATTTTCACATGAACAGGACCCTGCTTCTCTTTACTTGGTTGCCTTTCTTCTGTAGAGTTCGAAGGAAGGGTAGAATTGCTGATTCGAGTAGGATATGCAAACTTAATATTAACCTGTGGTATATTCACTTTGTATGTGTACTTCATTGATATCGAGCCATAAGGTAAATGGGTCTCATATTCATGTGTGACATTTTTTCGCCATGATGCTCTTCATCCTGTCTGTGGATAGTACAAACATCAGCAGACATACCAACCCCCGTTTACAGCTTGTGCAACAAAGAAAACCCCCCAAAACCAATCAGAATCTATACCAGGTGCGTAAAAATACGCATTCCATAACCCATCAATACTCTCATTGGCTCAGCTCGTCTCTTTCTTCTTTCACCCGCTTCTGCCCAATTTTGCTCCAGGGTAAGCAATCCCAAGCCATGGCACGGGCCCACCTGACCCTTTGGGAGATTTACATGTGACATCACTTGTGCCGCGATCCCCTAGATTCATTTAGATCCTGTAACAAGCTTCTCCCCAGCTTCCCCAATCTCGCTTCCTCTTCTTTTCTTTGCCTATTTCCCCTTCATCCTGCTCCCACATGCTTGCCTCTCCAGTGCGAGGCAACAATGGGACACTCCTCGTAACAAGACTGGAAAGGAAAAAACAATAGCCGAGATATCAGTCTCTCGACGTGATGCCTCTTCCGTTCATCGGTAGGCTGCATGCGTATGTATCATCCTCGCCGTCGCAGTCACCTCTGCTCGTCCCCACGATCACCATCCGTGTGCTAACCGCTCGTCATGATTGCCTACAGCACCGAATACATCTCCATTGTCGTGTCCTTCTTCCTCGTTGGCCTCGAGGTCATCATCCGAGTCCTGACACTGGCACTACGTTCGTAGTCCCTAACTTACACGCCCAGATCCAAGCATCGGCGACATCTTGCTGACCCCCTTTTTTACACATACAGCCTCGTTCCTCGTCGAATTCTTCTACCGGGCCTCGCGACGACTGTTTAACGTGCTCACCTCGCCGGCGCAGAAGAAGGCAGAGAGCAAGAAGAAATGTTGGTCTCGTTCTCGTCCCCCCCTTCGACACTGCACTGTCTAGCCCCCCCTACCCCGAGTCGTCACTAACACAAGCTTTAGCGATTTCCACCTCTGTGCGCGATGCCTCCGATTTCGTCGAGCTGTGCCGACTCTGGGGATACGAAGCCGAAGAGCACATAGTCCAGACAAAGGATGGGTTCCTGCTGGGCTTGCACCGCTTGCAGTGGCGAAAGGGCGAGGAGGGCTCCAAAGTCAACTGCGGCCCGAAGAGCACCAAGAAGCGCGTTGCGTATCTGCATCACGGCTTGCTGATGAACTCCGAGGTCTGGGTCTGCTTGACGGACGAGCAGAGATGCTTGCCCTTTGAGCTTGTGGAAAGGGGGTTTGACGTCTGGGTGAGTACAGCTATATATATAATCCGTGGCCTCTTCTCTGGCTTCTGCTAACGTGAGGGAACCCATCAGTTTGGAAACAACCGCGGCAACAAATACTCCAAAAAGTCGATCCACAGCTCGCCCACGTCGCTCAAGTTCTGGGACTTTTCCATTGACGAATTCGCCTTCCACGATATCCCCAACAGCATCGAGTACATCCTCGAGACCACCGGCCAAGAGAGCCTCTCGTACATTGGCTTTTCCCAGGGCACCGCCCAGGCATTCGCGACGCTGGCCATCCATCCCAAGCTCAACCACCAGGTCAACGTCTTCATCGCCCTCGCGCCCGCCATGGCGCCCGCGGGCCTGTCCAACGGCGTTGTCGACTCCCTCGTCAAGGCCTCGCCCCAAGTCCTCTACCTCATGTTCGGCAGGCGATCCATCCTCAGCTCCGCCACCATGTGGGAGACGCTGCTCTACCCGCCCCTGTTCTGCCGCCTCATCGACATGGGCCTCTCGTTCCTCTTTGGCTGGCGCACCAAGAACATCTCCGCCAGCCAGAAGCTCGCCGCGTACCCGCACCTGTACTCCTTCACGAGCACCAAGAGCGTCGTCCACTGGTTCCAAATCATCCGCAACAAGTGCTTCCAGATGTACGACGATGACGTCTACCAGCCCATGAGCGTGGCCTCGTCCAGCAAGTACTCCAAAGTCGCAAAGTACCCGACCCGCAACATCAAGACGCCCGTCGTCCTCGTCTACGGCGGCAGCGACTCCCTCGTCGACATCAAGTCCATGCTCAAGGAGCTGCCCCGCCAGACGGTCGCCACCGAGATCCCGCACTACGAGCACCTCGACTTCCTCTGGGCGCGCGACGTCGACACCCAGGTCTTCCAGCACGTCTTCGACGCCCTCGACAGCTTCACCGACGCCGAGCACACCGCCGAAGAGTACGACCGGTACCACTTTGTTCGCCAGGAGAGCCTCGTGGGGTCCGCGTCCGTGCACGCTCATCCGCACAGGGGCAGCGAGAGCGACGCCTCCGTCGTGGCGTCCTCGTCGTCGTCGTCGTCGGCGAGCGAAGAGGCCAAGAAGCTGCAGCACCGCGCACGGGAGCAGCGCGTCCCAAAGGTTGCGCCCGATAAAGAAACAACCGCCATCAAGAAGAGCGAGGACGAAGCCCGCCCTGTCGAGAAGCTGAAAGGAGTAGGTGTCCGGAGAGGAAGCGGTCCTTCTGGTGCTGTCACTCAAGCAGTCAGCGTCGACGGTGTACGAGATGAGTGAGGGCGGCGTTTTGTATGCAACTTCATTGGAGCATTGCTTGTCACATGGGCGTCACTTGTTATTCTTCTAATACCTCTTGTTGGATCCTTGGCTTGCTCGTTAACTTTCAAGGCGTAACTTTTGGATTGGGGGAACCCCATATGCCATCTGTCCATGGCGACGTTGAAACTTGGAAAATATACCCTACCTATATAGTAATACCAAAGCAAATTATCTTCATGCCACAAATCATCTTCACACGAGCAAATAAGGAGCAACGAAAGTAAACCATGCAATCAATTTCAAAGACTACTGTTTCTCGCCCGCTCAAAACAAGAGCGCCAGGAGCCCATATATCCGATGGAGAGTAAACCCCAGCAGCCTGTCTGTCCGTAGACGAGAAATTGAAACAAATAATTATCAATAGTATTAGAAGTATCCACAGATATCCCAACTCTTTCTCTTCTTTTCGCGCCACGCTCCCGGGCTCGAAAGATATCTCTATGTTCATTATAGCGTGTGCCGTTCATATAAAGAGACCCGATGAATGATAACGAAATAAAAAAAGAAAGAAGGGGGGCGCGGGTATCTCGACACGCGCAGTAGAGGCATGTACGTATGTTCTAGATCTGTATGCACCGGTTTCAATGCAATCTGTCTCCATGCTAAGCAAAGGCGCCGACTTGAGAACAGAAAACATGAAACCCGATTGTTGGTTTCCCATGGGGCGTTTTCGAAACGCTGCTCCCATCTCGATGCCGGCTAAGCTTGTCAACGGATATGATGGCTTAATCTCTTACGCAAGATGAATGTGCAGTATGGTTAGGATTACGGAAAAGGGCACCTAAGGGGGGATATAGGTGGAGGAGGGAGGGGAATGAGCATCATGACAAGGTCACGTCAGATCGTAACGCCGCCCAGGGGGAGGATCTTGCTCTTGTCTCCGAGAAACTGGGCTCGGTAGTCAATAATGCCCTGGCTGATGGTCTGGAAGTCCTTGACCTTGCGGTTGCGAAAATCCGTCAAGAGGAGCTTCAGCCCGTTGATGTACTCGTTCTTCCTCGACTCGTCAAACTCGCTGTGCGCGCCAAGCTGGAGGAGGATTTGGTCATCTTGAGCATCACACACCCGTCATGTCAGCGTTCTCTATGCAAAAGCTCGCAAGAGCAGGAGCGAGCACCTGGCTCCAGGATATACATACCCGGCGCTTTCATGTCCTCGAAATGTTGAAACTCGCAGTCTTTGCCCTTCGAGCAGCTCTTGTTGAGCAGCTCGTCGGGGCACAGCTGGTGCTTCACGTCTATCTTATTGCTGTATGTTAAAGACCGAAGGCCGCCCGAGACGGTTTTGGAATACTCGGGATGGAAACGATACGCGTGGAAGTATCGAAGGGGCGACTCATATGGTACGAATGTGGTCTGAGGTGCATCAGAGGCCGGGACTGGGGCCGGCGCCGGCGCCGCCACTGCCTCACTTACTTGGTCAACCTGTTGAGCTATTAGAGAAAGGGGTCGGCCCTCCATGCGCAGGGAAACGTCTACTTCTCTTCCACTTTCAGAAGCCGTATCCTCTTGAACCGCAGATATCTGCTGGGCGGCAGTGGTCTCTGGCGCGTTTTCTTGATCCTGCACACCACTCGTGCCCACTGCGGGAGACGAAGCCAGGTCAGCAGGCGCGGGGCTGAAGGGAGTTGAAGCTCGCAAAGATCCTGCCGAAGGGCTAGATAAATCAGCGTCTGGAGGCTCGTAGTCATCTGATCCGTCTTCTGCGTCGTTGGCGTCGCCGGCTTCCAACATGACGGAAGTTTGTGTCCCCTCGACCGTCTCCTCTACCGCCTCCCCTGCCGTCTCCTCTACCATTGTGATGGAAGCGTCGTCTTGCATGGAGACACCCGTCTGATCAGGCTCCTGGCTAGCGTCACCAACGACTACAGTCGGTGTATTCACTGCTTGGGTTGTGATCATCTCATTGGCGGACGGCTCTCGTTCGGCCTGTTCAGCATCGAGAGCGTTGGGCTGCTGCTCGTTTTGGGATTCTTCAAGTTGATGTGGCGACGCCCCATGGTCTTGTCGAGCAGCAAGATTTTGTTGCGGGGATATGCTCGCAATGTCCATCGCGTCTGTCGGGGGTGATGGGCTTGATGGTTTAGCTGGAGATAAGGCTTGATCAGAGAACATCGTTAGTTTCAAATCTTGTGGCAACCGGTGGATCAAGCTTACCTTGTGGTTCTTGTGTTTCTTCTCTGCTTGATACTTCATCAACATCCTCCTTCAACTTCTCTTCTTCTTCATAGCTCTGTTGGATCTCGCGTTGGATATTCGCAATCTGAGCTTGCAAGAGTTGCAGCTTGAGCTGCTGCTCTCGGCGGCGGGCTTCGATTATTGGAAGGCGTTCGCTAGCCGCACGCGAGCGACTGCGATGTCGTTCATTTCCGCTCTGGGGACTCGCTTCGGATAACTGAGGCAGCCCTGGCGATGGGTCTGACATTGGAGGTGTTGAGCGTGGAAGGGCCTGGCACTCGATGGATAGGGATACAGGCATACTCGTGGCCTTGCTGTCGTTGATCGTCTCAAAAGTGCCATTGGTGGAGTCGACATTCATTGTTGGAAGAGCTGGTGAATCTGGTTGGGACTGCTTTGCTTTCTTACGCGCCTCAGCCTCTGCGATTCTTCTCTTCATGGCTTCAATCTTCTTCGTCATGTTGTCCAGGTTGTCTTTCGCGACATTGTTGTCGCTGCCTATGCCAGGAGGCGTGGAAATTGGACTCGAGTATTGTTGAGCTGCAGCCGCACTGTCGGCAACAGATGGATTGGGACGAAGGGACATTGTAGTCTTGAGCCCTGGGTGCGTCCGCGTAGCCAGCGCTGTTGCCTTCTGCTCGGGAGAGTCAATGTCCATTTCGGCATCTTCATCATCGCTGACATCAATGAGGAATGGTATAGGCTTTCTGGTCTGGCCAAACGGACGCTTGAGAGGCCGTGGGTTAGAATCCACCAGGCCCGTAGAGGCTGAGCGCTCCAAAGTCAACGGCTGTGCAGGGTGTTGAGGCTGTGGTGTGGAAGAGAGGAAAAGGCCCGGAATTGAGGGAGGTTGCCCATTGGGGCTGGCGCTTTGGGCTGGCGTGCGTTCCCTCGAGGCAGTACGTACGCCACTGGTAAACGCATCGGACGAGGCTGTTTTGTCGGCCTTATCTTCTACTTGGCGGGTTTGGTGTGGAGGTTCGTCTGAATGAGGCCGCTTTTGTCCTCGCGCCTCAAGTTCACGAGCTTTTCGCAGAGCTTCCATCTTCTGATACAAAATCTTCGACTTCTCGGACTGAGTCTTTGATGAGCGTTGCTGCTTTGCGGCCGGCGAGGGAGCTGAGGCTGGTATGGCTGCGGATGCTTTGGCAGAATCTGGAGGCGCAGCCACTGATGAAGTGCTCGGTTTCGAGCCTTTGGCAGCTAGGAGCCGTGCAATGCGATCCTTGCGTTCTTCTGACTTGTCTTTCGCTGTCTTTTCTTTTGCCGCCATCTCTTTTGTTGGCTTCTCTTTTGTCGGTGCGTTTAACGGGGGCTTTACAGCTTCGTGTCGGTGCTGGCTGCTGCCGGTGTGCGCCGATCCATCTTGAGGTCCCGAGGCTGCCTCCTTCTCGTGACCAGACGTGGCAGCTGCGGTAATGCCTGCTGCAGCTCTATCAAAACCCAGCTCCTCGAAGAGGCCATCCAATATGGACTTGTCAATTCCCTCATTAACGTAGTCCTGATATCGTACGTTCAATGGCCATAGGCGAAGAATGGCATCCCGGGCTTGTTTTCGGGCCGCTGCAACGGTCTTGACGTGCGGTGAGCTGGGGACAGATCGGTTCTCTCCGTTCATCTTGGTAACCGGCTCTGCTACTTCTGGACGAGTGGCATTGTTCGACCGTGGTCCTGATGATGAGTATTAGTCACTGGAGCGACCCAGAGTGCCCCGTATAGGCGAAACTCACCGTTGGAAGATTGGTGGTTAATTTCTTGAGGCGAAAGATAAGGAGAATATGAACCAGAGCGTTCTCGACCTAACAATACTCGATTAGCTAGGATCTTTGAAATTGTGGCGTATGGTAAGAACTTACCGGCAGAGAAGACGGTCGACGGATCGCTAGCTACCTGTCTGCCGTTTGTCTGGCTCGATCCGGAGTAATTGCCTGCATCCCTATGTATGTATGATGGGCCGCCGACGATCTCAGCGTCCCTTGGCTCATAGACATCCTCCACCTCGCCTTCGCTGACCTCACCTTCCTCACTCACATCAGCCTGCTGCGTGGGAACATTCTCTTCAGCAGTAGCGGGGTGGCCGGGCCCAAATGCGGGCTGCTGCTGATTCGCCCAGCCATCTTGCCACTGTGCCGCGTTCTGCGAGAAGTTCAGAGCGAGCCCAGGAATCATATTATGGTGATTGTAGGCATCTCGGGAAGCCGGTTCGCTGTGCACAATGGTTCGCACCGCACCATTTGGATAGCTGCTCGCTGCAACTGGATATGTGGAGTGATACGGCTGATGCGCATACGGAGCCTGTGGTGGAGGATAGCTATGTGACGGGTCGTAGTCGTACCCATAGCCTGATTGAGCCATTGCTGGCCGAGTCCAAGAATTGACCAGTGGCTGCACAACCCCAATGTGGTGTATAAGCGTGAGAAGGCTGCTCACTGGCAGGAACTGTCGTTGCGATGTGCGGTTAATCGGCGGTGGAGGTTGGTGGTTTATAGAGGCCTTGTTGGATGTGCTGTGGAAACCGATGAGCTCGAGGTCGAGGGAGGAGAAATCGTCGAGGGCAGGGCGAGCCTGTGCAGTGGCGGAACCGGAGGCACCTAACCTGGAGCGTACCAAGGACGCAAGGCTATCCGGGGCTTGGGCAGTCACTGAGCAGCGAAACAGCTCGCGGTTGTTACTGTCACGCCGAGCCCAGTCGTTGTCTGCGGAGCGAACTGAGGATTGACGCGATGAATCGCCATGTGGGATGAAAGCACAATTTCGTTTGGCGAGAAGAGATCGGGTCGCCGGCTTACCTAAGCCAAGGTCATAGAGGTAAGGTACCTGTAGCTTGGGTAGGTACGTACTGCAGCACCGCTGTGGCCACGGCTGCGCTAACCCCGACCAGGTTAGCGAATCTCCACACGATACTAGTCCTTGTTAGTAGTATCGCGATTGCCAGGTCACGTGGGATTGCTCTGTTTACTTTGGCGGGGTCTTTGCCCAGCAACCAGGGTGCTCGTAGATGCATGGACATGGGCAATCACGGAGCTGCCCCCAATTGTCACCGCACTTATTGTTGATCGTGTTTGTTTAGGCGATGCTCTGATACGACCCAAGCCAATGCATCTTTCTTGTACTACTGTTTTCTTTTCTTTCGACCGAAGTCCAAGCAAGACTTTGATTACAGATCTAACCCTTTGACTGCTACGCGGCAGCTGCAAGCAAACACGAGTTAGGACGGGTCAACACCAGCGCCAGCAGCATATCGGCATGTGTTGGCCTTGAGGCCTCGATTATCACCAACAATGTCATTTCCCACGAACGGCTCGGGGCAGCGCCGCAACAACCCGTTCGCAAGAAATGCTTCTCCCTCACAGGCAATGCCCTCCTCTGGAAGGCCAAAATCAGTCCTCTTCGCCTCGCCAACGGTCTCGCCCAGCGTGTCGACACCGCCATCTACAGCCTCCACAGCCTCTACAGCCTCTACAGCCTCCACTGCACGGCCGAGAGCCAACAGTTCGTTTGGAACAGCGATTGCCCCAGCCGGCATCGTATCACGACAGCATCGAACCGACTCGCGATCAGGGAACAGCTCGAATACAAGCACTTTTGCTCCGTCCTTCATCAAGGAGGAGGAGGACCTGAGACAGAACCAGGATGCTGTGAAGAGTATCGAGGGCGAGAACGACTTCTCCGGCAAGCGATATGTGTGGCTTAAAGATCCACAGGAAGCTTTCGTGAAGGGCTGGGTGATTGAGGAACTAGAGGGCAACAAAATCCTGGTGCAGACCGACAATGGAGCTGTGAGTTACCTCCCTGGCCATGATGGCCTACCAGTTGATG